AGTCAGAGTTCTAATATGATAAGGAAATCTTAAGTAGTGATAAACTGAGTCAAGCGATTGGGAACAGAAGTAGAGGTTGTGAAAATTGTGCCTCATTTTTGCTTTTTGAGTTTTAGCAATCGAAAAAAACTGTAATAGGTTGTATTCATGAAAGTGACAGAACCTTAAAACGGCTCATTCTGGGTGGTACTGAAAATGTGAAGAATAACGCTGCTGAAATCGTTCACTGTGAGAAGGCTTTTGTGTAAAGACCTTCAAAAACAGAACTATTATAACTAAAAATGCTGTAATATGTCCCTGTAGATGAAATGCATGTGCTTATTTAGTACTAACTCATTATTGCCCTGAAGTTTGTAATAAAGTTATATACAATAAACTTAAAATAGAAAGTTCTTAAAGCCTTTTGTATTTGAACTTGAAATCAGTACGGGTGTTTGTATTTTCTTAGGCAAAAACAGGATTTCATCTTACAGAGTAGGCCATCCCGACCATGTAATGTTTCCATCAGTGGAACCAAGTAACGTGTAAAGATGTAGTCATCATAGGTCACACTCATTGTTGATGAAAAGATGTGAAAGATTTTAAAATAAGGGGAAATACTGTTATTACGTTTTATTTGTGGGCATAAACCCCCTAACAGAAACAAATTTAAAATATTTTAAATTAATCAGAGACTCAAAAAACGTAGGAGCTAAATGCAATCCTCTGATCAGGCACTTGAATTTGGCTAAATAAAAACAGCTGAGCTTTCCCAGTTTGTTGAGTACTGTATTATAATTTTCATGTCAGTTTTGAGCTGAAATATATTCTTCATGTTGAATAAGATTGATGTTTGATGTGATAGCACATCAATCTGATTGTCAAACTTTAAAGGTGCATTATGTAGAAATGAAGTAAAAATGACATCCTTCGGTTACTGCAGCCACTTTTTGCCGGCCATTGTCAATTTACATTTGTCGATGCTGCAGCATTAGCTCGCAGGTAGTTCACACCAGAAAAAAGCTTTGTAGCTAATTGATAAAGGGCACTGTTGTAAATTTTTACATTTGCATATTTTACAACAATCTGTTCAAATTAACTTTTTAAAAATCATCAATGGAAATTTAAATTGCACTAAAATTTCTATCGCAAGGGTCAAATAGCCACTCTGCTCAGAAAAACGTGATAAAACAACAGGATTACTCAGAAACCCTAGTCTCAGCTGGTCCTTTTAAATTTCTTCAGGAATTTTCTGGTTATATTTTATTATTTTAAATATTCTGCTCCATCATCATGTTGCTAAATTTGTTGTTGCTGTGACTGTTGTTCTCTTCCTTTGTGATCATCCATCTTTCCCAGCCTTTTACATAGTAGAACAACAAACATTTGGTTCTTCCTAAATAAAACCCATCAGACTTTAACATGACAGAAGGCAGAATCTGACCTTTCACCTCTAACCAAACAGGTTCTGTGGGTCTTTTCAGCTCACATCACCATAACATCAGAGATGTCCCATATCTCATTTTAAAACTGTATTTAAAATGCAGTATTTATTCAGATTTTATTATTATCAGAATCTTATTTTGAAAGTTCTATGTTTGATGGTATTTTGTTCTTTTACTAACTATATTTTCTTAATGAACCTTAATATCTGCTGATAATTTTAGGCAGGAATTTATCTTTCAAATGACATGAATGCTAGTTCCATCAGTCACACCATTAGCAGGAATGTGTGTCCATGTGTCCGTACTGCCTACTGCCATGACAACCTCTGGTCACCTCTGTGGGTCACTGGTAAGAAGGGGAACAGGAGCGCCACACGAGTAGCCTCGTAGAGAAATTCTCAGCGGGAGAAAGTAAACTGAGATGCATGAGAGAGCGGGGCCTGTCTGTCAAAGTCAACCAATGGTTTCTCAGAACGAGAAGTCTAGCTTTGGCCACTAATAAAACACACCTTCAATATTTTTGGGCATTTAGCCTGTACCATCTAAGTACTGCAAACAGAGTTGTGCTGATGCTTACACACCCTGGTGGCTTTGTTTGTTTGTTTGTTTTTCACAGAAAGGGAAAATAAATAACATTTATGCTACATGTTTCTAGTGTCTTGGACTGGATAAAAATATATTATCAATAAAATAAATCAAAATGGAGAGGCCGCTGCTCCCTGGCTAACGTTTTTTAAAGGCCCCCAAGCTTCTCCTCGGTGTGGCAAATGGGGCGCATGACTCGTCAAACCCAACAGCAGATTAGCTGGTAATGATCTGGCAAATGGTTTTGAAATTGTAATTATTTACCCCTCAGCTGTGTCTAATGTGGGTGAGAAGGGGGTGGGGGGTGGGGGGTGGGGGTGGGGGTGGGGGTGGGGGGTTCAGGGACAAAACAAAGAGGTTGAAGGTAACCGTCTCACTTTTGCTCTTTATTTCCTAAAGTCTTAATACACAAAAAATTAAAATATGTAGAAGCAAACACTTCACAGATGAGGACTGTGAAGCACCCCATGAACAAACATGTGGCCCAGTAGTGAGCAGCAGTTTAAACATGGCTCTGGGCCTGTTGCTCACAGAAACATATGGTAGAACTAAACGCCACCAACGAGGTGGTCTAACCCTGACTTCTGCTGCCATCTGCAGGGAGCAGCTAGAAGGTCTTTACTGGCAAGTACAATACACAGCCTCTAGTGCAGAAGAAAAATGACACATGGTACATACGAATATAATGCAAGCTCCCTTTGCCGTATCTTAAGCACTGAGAGTTCTGGTGATCTATTAAAAACATGCTAAAAGAGCCAGACCACCAAGAAAAAAGAAAGAAAAAAAGAAAATATTAAATAGCAAGAACTATAATGATAGGGCAGCAGTAGCTCAGGTGGTAGAGCGGGTTGCCTCATGATTGAAGGGTCATGGGTTCAATTCCAGCTCCTGCCAGGGGTATTCTGCTGTTGTGCCCTTGGGCAAGACACTTCATCCGACTTGTTTGTGTTGGTGGTGGCCAGAGGGGCCAACGGCGCCAAATGTCAGCCTCGCCTCTGTCAGACCACCCCAGGGCGGCTGAGGCTACAAGTAGCTTACCATCAACAGCAGTGTGTGAATACGAGTGCATGCAAGCGTCTTTGAGTGTCCTAAACAAGTGCTATATAAGTTAGATGATGATGATGATTATTATTATTATTTAACAATTTAGGAGTTTGGAGCAAACATGCTAATAATCTCCATCTCACCCTCCACGGGTGGTCTCATCCTTCCAAGTTCGGGTCCTCTAGCACAGACCTGCGAGCTTAAGGGTGCTGCTCAGTATCTTAGCTGTTCCTAAAACTGCGCTTTTGTGGACAGAGATTTTTTTTTCTTGGGGATCTTTTAGGAAGTTTGATTTTCAGTTCTCTCCATAGATTTTCTATGGGATTTAGGTCAGGTGACTGGTCCATTCAAGCATCTTGATTTTCTTTTATTTTTTTTTAACAAGTTCATTGTTTCCTTAGTCTTGTGTGTGGCATTATTGTCTTGCTGAAATGTCCACCCTCTTCTTGGGGTCTCTAATGGGTCTCTGACCCACAGTGATGCAAGGGATTGTCCTGTTCTGGTCTTGCTGGACCTGAGAGCAGCCTTTTACACTGTTAACATCATTTGTTACTGGATAGGCTTAGAGACTGGATAGGCCTATCAGGATCTGCTCTGGAGTGATTCTCGGCTTTCCCTGCATCTGTCTGAGCGTTCTATCTCTGTGGCTGTCTCCAAGTGTAGGTCCTCCACCACCTCCCTCACTCATGGTGTCGCACAAGGTTCTGTGCTGGGGCCTCTACTCTTCCTCCTCTACCTGGTTCCTCTTCAGCACATCCTGGGCTCCTTTAAATGAATCTCCTACCATCTTTATGCAGATGACATCCAACTGTACATCTCCGTTAAGCCCCATGAGATGCCTAAGCTGCAGCTGTTACACACCTGCTTGGACTCTATTAAAACCTGGACGCCTGGGGCTGCATGGTGGCGCAGTGGTTAGCACTGTTGCCTCGCAGCACGAAGGTTGCAGGTTCGAAACTCGGCTGCGGCCTTTCTGCGTGGAGTTGCGTGTTCTCCTCATGCATGCGTGGGTTTCCTCCGGGTACTCCGGTTTCCCCCACAGATCACAACATGCCCTATAGGTTATAAATTGTAAGTCGCTTTGGATAAAAGCGTCTGCTAAATAAATAAACATAAAATAAATAAACATAAACAAACTTTCTACAGCTGAATGAAGATAAGACTGAGATCCTCATCTGTGCCCCAGACAAGCTACCAAACAGGGACTATCTTGGTCAGCTTTCTTCTCACACCAAACCCTCTGTCAGGAATCTTGGTGTGACCTTTGACCCAGCTCTCATCATGGATTCTCATGTCAGTTCTCTTGTTCGCTCTTCCTTCTTCCATCTCAGGAACATTGCTAAGCTGAGTCCCATTCTGTCACGCTCTGAACTTGATACTGTTATCCGCACCTTCATCTCCTAACAATTAGACTACTTGACCTACACCATGATGCTTCCATACCCAAACTTAACCGTTGGTATGGTGTTCTCGGGGTAGTGGGCAGTGCCATTTCTTCTCCAAACATGGTGTGTAGGACAGCCCAAAAGTTAGGGTTAGTCTCTCAGTAATCCACGGGCTTCTCCAAATGCTGTTTCTCAAACTTTAACTGAGCCTCAACATGCTTTTTGTTCAACAATGCACTGCTTATGGTTGTTTTTGAAATAACAGTACCTGCTGATGCAAGGTCTTCCAGAACTTCTTCCCTAGGGGGTCTTGACTCTTGGAGAACTATCCTGATTATTCTTTGGACTTCTCACCTGATCGTTTCAACCTGATAGAATTTCTGAATTACTTTAGCAGATGACGTTTAGCTGCCAAATGAAATAGCCAATCGTTGGCGAGCCCTTCTAGCCAATCAAATACAAAAGAGGCGGGGCCTCACGCTAACAAATTGCATTTAGCGTTCCATAATCCTTTTAGTAGATTAACAATTAAAAGCCTCAAACCGCTGATAGTTGGATGCTTCATGATAGAACTGATTTACAGCAAATCTCTTATCGAAAGCACGAGTCCATAATGTTAAATAAAAGCAGGGAATATTCAGAGGAGTCTGACACGGAGAGCGCGTCGAGTGAAGGACATGATTCCTCCTGCATAACAGGTCTCCTCAGCAGTTTAGGTGAGCTTAGGTTTAGCCGAGTGCGACCGTAGTTATTTTTACAGACTGACTACGAGATTGAATTAAGTTCTTGTTGTTTACTGCATTTATGTGTCAAAGCCTCTCGCCTAATAAATAAAGTGGCAGGGTATAATTTATGTGTTATGTAGGTTTGCGTCACTACAGTCGCTGCTAGTGGATATCAGAAGGGCGGGGTTTCGTCGTAGGAATTTGACGTCACACCCTCGTCAGAATGAGCAGCAGGACGCCGGGATAACTTGTAATGCCTCGGTGTGGCTTTATCTTCTTAATTTGCTTGGAAAGCGGGTTTTTGGCATCTGGAGTATGCTTATTTTTACAGTTTAATCATTTATAGCTGTGAGTAGCGCCGTCAGGACTGTTAGCTTATCTTACTGAACACTGTATGAAAACAAGGAAGGCGCTGGTAGCTGCCAGTGACACCTGTGTGACTGTAGACCTGCCGTGTGTGTGTGTGGTTGAGTTAAACTGCTGCTCGTTAAATAGGTTTAGAGAGAAACTGGGGCTGCTTCCGGAACGTTTCCAAGATGTTAAACATTCCCACCCAGTCTTTCCCTGCACCGAGCTCCCAACAGAGGATCTCTCCGTCTGGCCAGTCCGAGAGGAACAAGGTACGGTAGTGTCACCCAGCCACAAATGTAAACACTAGACTGGCTACGAGCGGCGATCGCCATCTTGCTGACTGCTTTTAGGAGCGCTTTTTATTGTTTAGATTAAAATATCATGCAATGCTCCATTTATGTCAGTCAGACTGAGAGACCGTCTTTGCAGGTGTTTTGTATTCATTAGCTGTGTGACACTGAACCTTTTCACAATATTCTAATTGTCTGACATTTTGAATGTGGGGGTGTCATAAACTGTAAGCTATAATCATCACAATTATAACTAATAAAGGCCTGACATATCTGGCTAAGCCGATTTAAAGTCAGGCACATCCTCGGGCAGCCCAGCGGTGTTGCAGAATTTATTTAAATGTATTTTCACGTTCACTAAAATATCTGCATGATTAATACTCTAAATTAACTTTATTTAGATGTCTGACTTTAACACTGGGCAGTGTACAAAGTTAAGATTTAACATTTATTTAAATTCAGAGTTAAAAATGATTCAGCTTCAGGAATTTTGTGTATCAAATGTTATTAGTGACATTTTAGCCTGAAAATAATGTGGAAAATGTCTAGTTATCAGCCATGAAAATTGGCCCATAGAAATCGGTTGTACTTATGGGTCATCTGTATCGTCAATAGGAAAACCAATATCGGTCGACCTCTACTCTGAAGCACGTTTCCAGATTCAAATGTCTTTTCCTCTTCACCAGGTGGCACTGAAGCCCGGCCACAGTCTAATGGACTGGATTCGGTTTGCCAAAAGTGGAAAAGATTTGACTGGACTCAGTGGTCGCATCATTGAAGTTACCCAAGAAGAACTACAGAAACACAACTCAAGGGGTGACTGCTGGACCTGTATACGAGGTGAGGCGGGCACCATAGCAGTTCTGAGGCTTACGTAGCCCCGGAGAGGTGAGGTGTTTTAGTAAATTTGAGGTTGTAAGAATCAGGTCTCTCAATTTAATAAATTCTGCTCAGATTTGAACATTTGGCTGCTAGTCCATAATGATGGTTAGATATTCACTGATTCACACCTCCACCAGTCATGTGCCTAAACTAAATTATGCTGGCTTGTTCACAAACACAAGAGACACAACCATTCCTTTCACTGATGTTTAATGGGGTCTTACATCTTTGAACTTTTACACCACAGCTAAACCGAACAACTGAAGTCAAATATAAACAATGTACAAATAATAACATTACTTGCTTCATCTCATGTAAAATAAAGCATAAACATACCACCTTGGCTGCTAGTGGACAACCCGATGGACTTCACTTTCCCTCCACGATATTGGGTCTGTTGCATCAACAGAATGTTTGAAGCTTAGCGGAACTGGAAGTGGCGTCACTGTCTTCCTGTTTAGCGCTTCTTTACAAAACTACGTGTCACTCTGACATTATGGTTTCAGCATCTAACTCTCTCCCCCCCAAATAAGGCTGCAGCTTGATGTCGTGTTGGTAGTAAAACCTATTGTAGGGGTGGTAAAAACGTTAGGATTCCTGTATTAACCCTGTTAAAGTAGACAAATAGTGTCTTGGCTCTGGTATCATGATCACTGATGTAAGCAGAGAGCAGCACTACTAAAGTGTTTTCTCCTTTTATTCAGGGATGGTTTATAATGTCACACCATACATAGACTACCACCCTGGGGGAGAAGAGGAGCTGATGAAGGCAGCAGGGATTGATGCCACGGACCTCTTCGACCAGGTAAAGAAAGAAAGTAAAGCTTTGTCTTTAGTCACAGAAACATTTTACTGGTGGTTTCTGTCTAAAGTCAAGCTGTGTAAAATGTTCCACCCCCACATTAGTAACATTTCAAAATGTATTGACTCAGTTTGTAGACTTCTCCAAAAGGTTTCAAACCTCCATAAAAAAATGGTTGTTTTTAGTGGCATCATAATGTTTTACTGTAAAAGAAAATAATCATTTCTATAGCGCCTCTCAAGATAAAAATCACGAGGTACTTCACAAAAACAAAAAATGTAAAATATAAAAAAGAATTTAGAAAATGATTAAAAATATGTTTAAAATAAGCAAAAATAGACAATTGTGATTTAAAACTGCTAAGAGAGAGAGTGAATAGGAAAGAAGGAAATCAGTGAATCCTGGGGAAGGCAGAATAGGTGGAGAGAGCAGAATAAGGAGACTGTGGTGATGAAGGTCATACAAAAGCCAGCTTGAACAAGTGAGTCTTCAGCTGCTTCTTAAAGGAGTCCACTGAGTCCACTGATCTCAGGCTCAGCGGGAGAGAATTCCAGAGTCTGGGGGCCACAGCAGCAAATGATCTGTCACCTTTGGTCTTTAGCCTGGTGCGTTGCACAACCAGTAGGCTTTGGTCACTGGACCTCTGGGACCTGCTGGGGGTGTAGGGACTGAGAAGATCACCAATGTAAGATGGTGCTTGTCCATGTAAGACCCTATAGACCAGAACCAGGATCTTGAAATGAACCCTAAAGTTGACTGGCAGCTAGTGAAGCTGGAGGAGAAGCGAGGTGATGTGAGTGTGTTTGGAGGACTTGGTCAGAAGCCGAGCACAGGCATTCTGAACCACCTGTAGACGGTTGAGGGAGGTTCTGCTCAGACAAATGAAAAGCAAGTTGCAGTAGTCTAAGTGTGAGGAGATGAAGGTGTCAGAGCGGGACAGAATGGGACTCAGCTTAGCAATGTTCCTGAGATGGAAGAAGGAAGAGCAAACAACAGAACTGACATGAGAATCCAGGGTGAGAGCTGGGTCAAAGGTCACACCAAGTTTCCTGACAGAGGGTTTGGTGTGAGAAGCAACGTGACCAAGAGAGTCTCTGACTTTGGGAACCAATTTGTCTGGGGCACAGATGAGGATCTCAGTCTTATCTTCATTCAGCTGTAGAAAGCTCCCAGCCATCCAGGTTTTAATAGAGTCTAAGCAGGAATGTAGCAGCTGCAGCTTAGACATCTCATGGGGCTTAAAGGAGATGTACAGTTGGATGTCATCTGCATAAAAATTGTAGGAGATTCCTTTGAAGGAGCTCAGGATTTGCTGAAGAGGAACCAGGTAGAGGAGGAAGAGTAGAGGCCCCAGCACAGAACCTTGTGGGACACCATGGTGTTACGTATCCAAAGGGTCAATTTTCACCATCTAATGGACCACAGTATAACCTTTCAGATGCAGAAATAAACCCACTATCTATCTGGCCTCCAAATCCAGAAGGTTCTGCTCAGTGCTTGTTTGCATACAAGAAGACATAACAAAATTGTCGAGGTCTCCTGCAAAGGTCCTGCAGTCTCTGTGTAAAAGCCAGACTGCTGATTCCTCACCCTAAATAAAAATCAAACCTACTTGAAGCTCCAATAAGCTTAAGTAATCATATGTGATGAATGAACAAGATGTTTAAATCAAATGTTTGAATAACCTGTGCTTAAATCAATGAATTTAAAAGGAATATTGTTCTTACAATGATCCATGTATTTAACAAATGAGTATGTGTTTGATTTAACAAGTTAATCATTGTTTACACTCATACACATTAAATAAGATACTCAGCAAGGTAATATTCAACTCACATAATGGTTTGAACATTCTCATTCACAAAGTGTTAAAACATCTTTGCATCTGAAGAAGGCGTGGCTTTCTGACGGATGTTGGTAAATACTCAAAAACGTGTCAAATTCTGATTTGCCAAACTTGTCCAAAACTCATGACATTGTGGTTTATTTTTATTTTTATTTATTTATTTATTTATTTATTTATTTATTTTACCGTGTCCTGTCTGGCTGTGAAGCAAGCAGAATTGATGTCTGAATGCTGGTGACAAGCCTTACAGATTTATTCTCAGGTGGAGCATCAAAGCGTTTGCTTTTAATGTCACGCCTGATACTTAAAACTTTATTGTTATTGTTGTTGAATGCTTTGTAATTCCGACCAGACACAGAGACAGAGGTGAAAGAGAGAGGAAAAGAAAAGGTGGGGAGAGAGAGAGGGGGGGGGGTTCCACAAAAATAAACAATAATGAACAAGAGTCTGCTTCTAGACCTGCAGAAAAAAGACAAAAAAAACAAACAAAGGGACACCAAAAAAGGGACACAACAACAATACAACAAGATCTACCTATCACTGCGTCAACTTGATGAAAAGAAAAAATATATATATATATAATCAACATTGCTTAACTGAAGAATCACGATAATAAATCACAATGCATTAAGTGCCCACCATAGTCTTAAGACCTGTGTTTAACGTGCCCAAGCCCATACTTTTGAGAGCACCATGTGAGCACCTGTGTGTGTACACGCGCTTGTTTATGTAAGGTTTCTCTATAGGAGCGTCCAACAGAGAGTGTGAGGGACCACAGATCCACCCCCCAAAGATGCGCAGGAGACGGAGGGAGCTCCAAGTCCCAGAGATCCAGGCGCTGCCCCAGAACGCAGGAACCCCAAGGAGACTGCAACCAGGAAGGCCCCCGCCCCCCTCGAGAGGCACAGAGGATCGCCCCGGGGGACCACAACCAGCAGCCGGCAGAGTCCCCGGAGATATCAGCGGCAAGCCCACAGGCCCGCCCGCAGCCTCCCACCCCCTAGCCGGCCGAGCCCGGGACTCAGCGACCGGGACCCAGGGGCGACCACCCCCGCCGGGGACCCAGCAGAGCCCAGGGGCCCAGACCCCACCAGGCAGCCACCGGGATCTAACAGGCAGATGCCAAAATCTTAAACCCCCAGACCCGGTTGCCACGAACACTCAGGCAGACCAAGGCAGCGCACCCCACACCAGGTGTGGCAGGGGGAGGGGGGACAGAGATCTATATCATCAAGAGAAGTTCCAGGAGAGGGGAGGACCCAAAGGCCCCACCTGACATATACAGTCATACACAAACACAGTCACACACTCCCTCCCTCATGCTCACACATGCACATACAACCCAAGACTTACAAAAATGCACGCCGGACATTGTGGTTTATTAAAAGAATTACTTCCTGATTAAGTCAGTTTCTAGCTGACTCTCGAACCGGCCAATTCGGGAAGAAGCATTTTTGAGACCATCTCTTTTGACGTCCAGTCAAAAGCCTCTTTGCACGCTGCAAGCTGATACAGCCCAAACAGCTCTTTTAAGAGCTACTTCACACCTCAGATATCTAACCTGCAGACCCAGGGTTGCATCTTATTGGCTGGGGAGGCTGGACTCAGAGGAAGTTACTAATCTCTGAATATTATGGTTTCGACTTCCGGTTACCTCACTACTTGGACCGCACCCCTCCGGGCCGCCAAGAGCAACTCATACCAAGGGTATCGTACACCTGCGTACTGGAGTCTTATGACTTTTATAAATAAACAACTCTCTAGTTTATAAACAAACAACAAATTATTTTACAACCCAGACTTCACAAACTCTCTCAGATACAAAGAATGGTTTTGCTAAAACATCTAGCTTCCATTACAACATTTCACACATCACATTAAATCACTTCATATCCACCACATCACAGATCATTATTCATACCTTGTCATGTATAATCATTAGTTTGGGAAAAAGAATTAAATTCATTTTCATAAACTATATACTGACTGAATTAATACGAAGTGTGTTTATGGTCCCTGAAGAAGCAAAGAACCCTAGAATCTTCTGATTAAACATTGAAAGATCGATCAGATTGCTATTTCATATTTATATGGAATAGTCACATCTTATTGGTCATAAATAATATGTAGTGTCAATCATATCATAAATCATCACACTACTATGGGTAAGGTAGGTGGTGGAGGACCTAAATTTGGAGACGGCCACAGAGAAGGAATGCTCAGACAGATAAGAGGAGAACTACTCCAGAGCAGATCTTGATAGGCTTACCCAGTCTCTCAACCTCTCCAGTAGCAGGTGATGGTCAGCAATGTCAAAGGCTGCAGTCAGGTCCAGCAGGACCAGAACAGAACAGTCCACTCCATCACTGTGAGTCAGAAGGTCATTAGAGACTCTAAGAAGAGCTGTTTCAGTAGAATGAGCTCTACAAAAACCTGACTGGAAGCAATCATAGATGTTATGTTCATCAAGAGCAGCTGTGAGTTGTTTAGCCACAATCTTTTCCAAGATCTTGGAGATGTTTTGTTACTTGGTAAGAAAACCTTTAACAATTTATTATTTGATGCACACCGTTCAGGGCCACAGAAACCAGAAGAACTAAGGTCGTGGACACTTGTGATGCCAAAACATGCAGTTCACAAGAATCGTAAAAATTTGTAAAATGGGGGTTGTAAATTGTCAGAAAATATAATTGGTGTCATGAATTGAAAAAACTGGTAGGTGATCACTGATGTCATTAATTAATAATCCCCTCTCAATATTATTTTCCATATTGTTAGTGAAAATATTATCAAGTAAGGTGGCACAATGGGGTGTAATCCTGTTAGGCCTGGTTATTTTAGGCTGAAAACCCAAACTATACTTGGTATTTATTAATTTGTCTGTCATTTTATGCTTTTTCGGATTCAACAAGTCAATATTAAAATCACCACAGATAAACATTACTTTTTGATTAGTTTTAGAGAATATTTCTTCTAAGAAGTTATTAAATATTTGAATACTAGAGCCAGGTGTTCTATATATACAGCTAATTATTACATTTTTTTCCTTTTCTTTATGGATTTCGATTGTGATACATTCCAATACATAATCAGTCACAGTAGACATACGTTCCACTACCTTGTAATTTAAGCTTTTTCCACATATACAGCTACTCCACCTCCAGATTTGTTTCTTCTGTTTACAAAATGTGCATCATAACCCTCAAGTTCAAAGTCCAGTCCTTTCTCATCACTAATCCATGTTTCTATTGATCACGTCATACCACCTTCATGTTCTACTCGGTATTCAGTATGGAGAGATGAAATATAATTATTAATATTACACCTGCCTAAAACGTTTGCACACTGGTTCATTGATTCCTGTCTGGAGGGCACTACTTGCTAAGTCTATCCTAGTTTGCTGGTTTAGAAGTCCCTTCAGTTCACACCTTCTAGTGTAGCTTCTCACAGGAGGTAAACCAACCAGCCAGACCAAAAAAAAATGAAATCATTCACAGGAACATGGGTAATGTTCTTAAATCTCTACACTGGTTACCAGTAAACTACATAATTGATTTCTAAGTGCTTCTACTAGTTTGTACATCACTCAGTGGCATGGGACCAGAATACATGTTGGATCTCCCTTCCTGTACATACACCCAGCAGGGCTCTGAGATCCTTAGGAAGCAGTCAGCTGGTAGAACCTCGGGTCAGAACCAAACAGGGTGAAGCTGCTTTTAGCTACCATGCTGCTCACAGATGGAATCCGCTTCCTCGTGACCTCAAATCTGCCCCAACTCTGGTAACTTTTACATCAAAATTGAAAACCTTCATGTATTCCTCAGCCTTTGGATGACTGTTCTGCACTGTAACTGCTCACCTTTTAACTTCCTTTTTTTTTTTTCCTTTTTAAATGTTAATTTAATTTGTGTGTATTTTAATTGTGCTGTCACATTGATTTTAATGTTCTCGCTAATTGGAAAGTGCATTGAATTGCCTCTGTACATAAATTAAGCTGCCTTGTAGAGGTGCTGAAAAAAATCGATTCAAGTCTGAATCGGGATTCTTATTTATAAAGATTCAGAATCGATTCACAAAGGTTCAGAATCGATTCCAAGAACTCAAATATTTGGCACGTTACAGGTTTGAGATGCACTTTTTGATCTTTGTTAGGAGAGTCAGTACTCCGTTTACTTTTGTGGTCCCATAAATTGAGATGATTCATGTTTGAATCTGCTGATAAGAGGGTGAATGAATGAATGTAATTTTTTACATACTCAGAAATTTGAGATATTCTCTTATTTATTCTCTATAAGTTGATAAATGAGTACTCCGGATTACTCATGTAACTTGTTTCTACACATACTTGAAAAGTATTTGACCGTATTACTTTCAAAGCTACTGTTAGGTAACTACAGATTTGTTATATTTTACAAGGTAAACAAAAATAAATGTTGCCTTTTGGTCAAAAGATTGCTTCTGTTTACAGTTTTAGAATCACTTTATTTTACATTGTAAATTTGCATTTTGGAGCATGACCAGTTTAAAGTCAAATAAAAATGCCCCATAGCTTTAACTAACTTGTACAACAAAGTAGTTCATCCTGGAGCTGACACTCTTTGTTAATACGGATTGTGAATCGAGAATCGATTCTGAATCGAATCGGCACCCCAAGAATCGTAATCGAATCAAATCGTGAGTTGCTCTAAGATTCACATCCCTACTGCCTTGCCTACATAGTGATTAAATGTGACACTCCTTAGATCTTTAGTGAAACAGATGTTCTTCTGCCAGCTTTTGATTGGCTTCATATGTTGTGCTCAGGTCCATCGCTGGGTGAATTATGAGTCCATGTTAAAAGAGTGCCTGGTGGGTAGATTGGCCACAAAGGCTGCTGCAGCTCATAAAGGTACACACACACACACACACCCTACCTATTCTTGGTTGCATCTACAAAGTGCTGATTTTCCTAGACCGTTACCCTGCTCCAGTAGAACATGCTCCTGCCTACATACGTTAACTCCCCTTTCACATCATTACAAAAAGCCCTCGATGGCAGTCCTCCACTTATTCATTTTTATGTTGTAATGGCACTCTTGACTCCTGTAAAAAAGCAGCAAAAGACCTTTAGTTACTTGAGATCCACTGGAGTTCTCTTATCTCACTTTTTTTTATGCCTTAATTGTAATGATGTTAAGGTAAATCACTGTGAAAGGTGTGTGGTAAGTAAACTGTACCTACTTATTTTCCTGTCTGTCACTCCAGCTGCCACGCCAGCTTCACCTCCAACAGGCCTCGCTCCACCTGCTGCGGTTCCTCCTCCATCTAACAGAGACCCAAAACCTCGGTATCAAACACAAATCTAGAGCAAAAAAATCAGCTGTTATAAAATGAACAGTGACTCGTGATGTGCCTTCTGCCACTGATGTAGGTTCGACTGGTTCCAGACTGATGCCACTGTCCATTTGGTTGTTTATGCAAAGAGAAAGGTATTTACTCACACGTGTTCTGGGAGACATTTATAAGTATAAACGTATAGTTTGATCTCCTTTTACATTTTTGATGGGGTCAGAATGAATGTCATTGTCAGCCATACAGCTGGATAACCTGCTGGTCATTTGTTTTTTTTGCTTCCTCTCAGATTCCCAGCTCGGGCTGTACGACTGTTGACCTCCAGGCTGGTGTTCTTCGAGTGGAAGTGCTCCTTGGGAAAATGTCATTCATGATACATTTATGTGAGAAGATTTGTTAACTTTTCTTTTTCTTTTTCAAGTATATAATTGTCACACTTGGTTTATTTTGTCCTTTTTAAAACTAACTTCGATCCAGACTTCTAAGTAGTTTCAGTGCTAGCCAGTATTAGTGCCACCCTGTGGTCAAACATGGGTACTGCAGTCCATTTATCAAAACAAATTGTACGCTCTCAGTGTGAGGTTACTGTGTGGTGTTTAATTATCTCCATTAATAAAACTACTAACACACGTAAGCCCTAACGAACACCGGGAACATCCGAGCAGCTTGTAAGGGAACACAGTCATTCTGTGTGTCAAACAAAGAGGTCTGAAAAAATCTAATTATAAAACGTCTCTTGTGTCAGCAATGACAACTCGTCACTAATACTTTCCTGTTGTTTTATGTTGATGCTGCAGCAAGATGCATGGGGTTGTCTCTGTAGGCCTCTGTGATGTGGCTGTTCTGGTGCATCTACATGCCCAGACTTGTAGTTTACTGGTTTCTGCATCTCTTTTGGTCAGGATGTTACTGATTTTAGCTACTTTACACAGATGGAAGAAGACAGTCCTAGTAGCATGTTTCATATGTTTATGTTTTCATTTATTGTCGTGGTCCCCAGACTCTGGAACTTCCCCCACCCCTGAACCTGAGGTTCGTGGACTCGGTGGTCTCCTTTAAAAAGCAGCTATATCACATTTCGCCTTACAATTCATTTAATGCAATAAAAATGTGTACCATGAGAAATGTAGCTTCATACACTTGGGGTTCTTTGTTCTAAAATGTTTTTTTACACCTTTGTAGGTCTTGCCAGTCCAGTTGAAGAAAACATTGCTGGTAAGGAAACGTTTATGGATGACTTTCATTTAGACTGAAACATTCTGCTGCTTTACAGGATTCCTGGTAATTCCTTTTTCGGGAAAATTAAATTTTAGAATAAAGCATTAATGTGTGAGTGGCACACACAAGGTGTTTAATAGTTAGGACAAAGTAATTGTAAATAAATTAAGTCCACTTGTTTTTGTTGTACCGTCATGTAGCAGCACACTGCAACTGGCAGACTTCCATTTAAACATGGAAGGGTTGTTAGAGGGTCTGTCCTTTTCTAGAAATTAGATCATTAAAAACACTTGTTCCTGTTCTTAAGCTGTACGTATCATCCACAGTCCACTCTGCCGTCTCTGTGGGAAAGATCCAGGTCACCATGCACAAGCAAACTAAAGAAAAATGGAAAAGCCTTGGTCAGCCACTGGAATTCCACAATACCTTCCTATGCAAAAAAGACAGAGGTAGGATTTGAGATCTGGCATAGTGGCCCATAAAAACATTAGACGTGGATATGGAGTCTTACTTATCCATGATGTGCGCCACTTCCGCTACCTCCGTTAACTCTTTCCTGGGTAAAAAATGCAATGTGGATGTTTTACCTCCACAAAAATCATAAGCTCGAACTTTTTCTGCCATGTTGTAGAGATGCTATAGCTAATGGTTAGCTTCATTAGCAGAGATGTGCTCTGCTCTCTCCTGACTGCAGCATGAATGCTAACACTTCCCTGTGAAGTAGAAGGGACTGGCTTTTTCTGACCCAAGCATTTCCCTCTTTGTTTTATTTTGGCGGCTAATGCAGGAAATGGGGCTAGAAGACTATTTTCACATGCAGCCTGCATATGAGACTCAATGTGGCTTAAAAAAGACATGATTTACAAATAAGGATGTTTCTCAGCTGGTTAACAACCACCCTGCCACTTGACTAATCAGATCAGCATCCCAGACGTTTAGAGGACTTGATACGTTTAAAGTCTTCCTTTCATATGTTTTGAGCGTACAGATCTTGCTTTTAGCCATGGCATTTGTACATCTATGTGTACATAATATATTTTTTATTAAAGGTTGAGCTTTTGTGTGGAAAATGGCTTTTGGCTCAACCAAAGCTTCATTCTCATTGGTCACCAAGTAATTGTGTCTTAATCTAAACTAGCCCTTTTCTATCGGGACTGTGTGCTGGCGTCTAAAGCTGAGGTGAACCATAACTCCCAACTCTTCAGACTGCACTTCCCACAAGGGACTGTCCTGCAAGTGCCTGTTGGAAGACATGTCTTCCTCAAGGCCCTCATTCAAGGTAAGTACACTCTACGCTCCCCTGTAGAATACCGTGCACCACCACTTCCTGGACTTCTTCACCGTCACACTCCTTCCAGAGCTATGAGATCCGCGTATCGGCGACCGTTTAAAGTTTCTTTTATGTTAAAGCACCTGTCAAACCCAGAGGAGACAGAACATGGTGGAAATGATTAATAACGGCTTTTTATTGATCAGATCTATAATTTGTTGGTGTGGTTTTTGTTGCACACAAGTTTACTTTTGCTTTCATGACTGCATGACCCGCAGCACATCCTCTGATCCACCAGAACCTGATTTATAAATGTGATGATTTTCTGTATATTCAGACACAGATGTAGTGAGGCCATACACTCCAGTGGGTCAAAGTTTGGTAGCAGCTTCCCATCACTCCTCTCAGGACTCGGACCTCTACCTCATGATCAAAGTCTATCCAGATGGGGTTTTCACCAAATACCTCAACAGCTTACGAGTTGGTATGTTGCAGCTGGACCATCCTGTAAGGGTTTGTTTGTTTGTTTGATGCTTCTTGCAGCATTAACTTTGATTAAACATTGATTAGACGTAACTCCAGCTCGAACACTACGATGCTCATCCCTCACATACTGATTCACCAAATAAAAAGCTCTTGTGTTTGTGTGTCTGGAGCGTTATCTTGCATTTCTCCTCTATCTTTTGTTAGTAATTGCATTTTTTTAAAATGTTGATCTGACTTGTCTTTAATGCGTATTTCTGCTTTTGTAGGCGATCACATATCTGTAAGTGGTCCAGAAGGTGTTTTTAGTCTCCGCTGTTTTCGTGATGTCACAAACCTCTACCTGTTAGCAGCAGGAACGGGATTTACGCCCATGGCACGCCTCATCAGCCTGGTCCTGCAGGAAAACACCATCAGGTGGGGAGACATGGACCCAGTAGCAGGGTCATTCTAAAACTTATCAGGTGAAGGGAAAAGTATTTAAACCTCATCATTCATACTACCTGAAATTCACTAACAGCTTTAGCTGCTGAATGAATATTTATTACAGCATGAAGCATAACGGGACAAATCAGAGGAGCTTCAGTAACTTTTATATTTTACTATGAAGTCATGAAATTCCTCTTAATGACGGGTGGAATCATAATGAACCCAGACCGGTTACAGACCAGAGACCGCGTTTACCTACAAACATCACACAGATTACAGGTCTGCAAAGGGTTCAAGTAATGAAGTACAAATACTTTACCTGTTATTATTGGATTAATTATGTATTAGCTGACCTTTACTCCTTAAAATTTCATGCAGTAATTCATGATTTGTGGATATGTGGAGAAACTATCTGAGCAAGAAGAATAAAATCTGGGAGCAGAAACAAAGATTTGTGGAAGAGTGGAGTTTATTTGAAAGAGAGCTGGTGTTTTGAGTGTAAAGATATAAAATCCTGCTCTCAAATAGAAAATGTAAGCTCTTGAATAACGTTGGTTAAACACTTCCATAGTAACTGGTTAAAAAAACAGACGTAAACCTACTTCGATCATTTTTTTCAACTCTAATTTTGAAAATTGGCTAAAATGAGAGTAGAGTGGCAGCTTATGTCATCACTGACAAAACTCCAAACAGGAAATCTGAGTTGATACGTTTAATATTCGATCATGTTTTCTCAGGTTAACTAAGCTGCTGTTTTTTAACCGGCGGGAGGAAGACATCCTGTGGCGAAGCCAGCTGAGTGAGCTGGCTGCTAAAGATGAACGGTACTGCAGCTTTTGTTTGAGTGGACTGCTCTGATCTGAGGAGGAAAAGACAGAAATGTAATTTTAATCTTCATTGTGAGTGTAAGGGACAAGGGCCTGCTGTTTAAAGCATTCGTCTGTTGTAAATGCTCTAAACCCTTGCATGAGCATTAACCTTTTTAAAGTGTGTTTGTTAGAATGAAATAAGTTCAACTCGGTTAAGTTTATTTGTGAGGTTCCAGTTGTTACCAAGTCATCTCCATCTCTGAAGACCTCACCTTTGTTAGAAAGACAAGAAGCGGCCTGTCCAGGTTCTGCAGCTCATCGTGTGTGACGCTGGTGCCGTGTGTCAGGTTTCAGGTGGAGCACATCCTCTCGGAGCCCTCTGATAGCTGGACGAACAGAACAGGTCGGGTGGATGAGGCCATGTTGAAGGAGCTCCTCGTACGACCATCTGGGTCAAGATGCTATGTTTGTGTGTGTGGTCCTTCAGCTTTCACAGAGCTGACGGTAAGGTAAGTCATACACTAATATAATGCAGACATGGACTCTTGTCTTACTGGTGTGATGGGTCTAGAGTTATGTTCAGGTTTAGAAGTCGTCGTTGGAACCACGGCTCACTACGGTCCCAACAGTGGCTAAAGGACAGCTTGCTAGCTTTATAGCTGCCTCCTGTCTCTACAGAGACCCGTCTCCATGCCAACAGAGGGATTTACACCTGTAAAACCTGTTTTTAATCAAAAAATATTTTGCAGATTTTTTTTTTTAAGCAGCACATTTTTTGGTAAATGGCCTGTATTTGATCTAGCGCCTTCTAGAGTCCTGGAACCCCCCAAGGTGCTTTACAACACAATCATTCACCCTAGTGGTGATGAGCTACAATGTAGGCACACTGACAAAGGTGACCCTAACCCTAAACCACCAAATAGTTCCCGAGCGCGGCCACAGCTGCAGCTCACCGCTCCCCACGGATGGGTCAGGTGCGGAGATGAATTTCACCAGTGTGTGTGATGAACTAATGGGACTTTTACTTTAACTCCTGTGCCACCGTCGCCACATTGGGTTCTAAATTTTAATGTATTTTATTCAGATTTGGACATAATTCGTTTTCTCAGTGCTGCTTACATTACCATCAATGATTTAATCACCAAAGTCTTTTTGAACGAGTCGCTGTGCAAACAGACTGCTGCAAACAGAAGTCTTATTTCTTCTAGCAGAGTAATGTGAAATGGCCCGTGGCGTAAAGGTTAATGAAACAATTACTTTTGATGGAAGGTGGCAGTGACCCGACTCAGACTAGGTTTGATTCTGACCTGGTCGATGAGCAAAATCCAGTCAACGGCTAAACAAACCGTCAATGAAAGGTTTCCCTTTGAACTTGCTATGTCCCCCTTGGGTGAGGACAGGATGGGAGGACAGGGCTGTGAGGGGGACTTTGGTTTGCATTAAAACAGTTTGTGATGGATCTTGGTCTTGTTTTTACTCATTTCTCAGATTGTTGAAGCAGCTAGGGTTCAGCGAAGAGGAGCTCCACACCTTCCAAGGCTGACATCTCTAAGGGTTGTGTGTGTGGAAGAAGAGACATACTTCTATGCACCAATATGACGAAGTAATGCTGGACTTCACATCTGAGCATTTACAGTCCTTCCAGGGCAAGAGGAGCACTGGTGCCGTGGGATTCTGGTGGACTAAACTTAATCAAATTCATGTAAAAATGTTTGAAATAAAAGTACAGAAAGAAAAACTGAAGGAAAAATGCTGAATCTGAAAAGTATAACATTTAGTTCTGATTAGTCCCCCTGACCTTCGGCTGTGGACCATAACAGGAACAGACCCCGTGTAAACCAGGACGCAGGTCAACCAAACCAACCTCTGAACAGCTTTAGCAAAGAGAACGGTAAACTAACCAATGGACATCAGAATCACCGGGCGAGGAGAAAACTCCCGCTAGCAGGATGCTCTGAAACTAAAGGATCGCTGCACAACAGATGAACATTAATGGGGAAAAGCTATTTCAAAATAAGTTGCATTGAAGATCCACACTGCAGAGTAAGTTAGACTATTAATACATTTACCCAGATATTAGACCAAAGTGTCAAACACGAGGAAATTTGGTTTATTTTCTGGATCACAAACCTATTAAGAACGTAATAAATGGGTCGTTTCCGTTTTCTCAGTAGGGTGGTAGATCTTCCAGCTTCAGCAGGAGCAGCAAATATGCGTGTCAGTCCATCTGTTGATGCTCTGAGCCTGGTGGGATAACCTACTTCATATTGGATTTTCAATTCTCTCAGCTGTTGATTCACCCCATCAAAGCAGCTCCTTGTTGGTGAAGATCAGAGGACAGATCCAGGATAACCATGAGCCTGTTGCTATGGCAACTCTCATCACACAAACTATCCTGAAAGTCGAAAAACTTCACCATAAAGTCTTGCCTGGGTTTCCATAAGCTACCGTACCCGGCCGGGTAATCCCTTTTTTGGCAAGCCGTTAGAATGAGAAATCCAGATTTTAAAGCAGTGTAATCTGTAAATTATGGGATGCACACTTTACATGCAAACATGTAAATCTCAACCCAAGGGGCTTCTTATCAACTGTACTTACTCACAATGAGTGACGCACCAGGTGGACTGCCATGTGCCTTTCTCCAAGGAGTGCTCCCCCTCTGCCCACTCCACCATACAGGGCAGATTAGTGGATTGTCCTTCTGGAATGTTCTCTACTCCCCACAGAGGAATGCTGGAGCTCCGATGACCATCGTGGCCATTTATAACTTTGAAACCAGGGATGCACCGATATCCAATTTACGCTTCTGAAGTGATTACAACCACTGTCACATGATGACTAAACAAATACACATCATATTGCTTGTTAATATCGGCCCAGTTTTATATATCGGACCAATACCGATATGTTAAAAAATGACTACAATCGGCCGATACCGATATTGATGCTGATATAATGTGCATCTCTTTTTGAAAGACTACTTCAATATTGGTTTAATTTTTACTATGGATCCTGTTCCAAGACTTCAGATATCTGGTTCTAATAAACTGATTGAAGTAAACATTAAATATTGAATACATTTTAATTTGTTCTTAAAACTGTCATAAATTAAAAACAAATTACAGAGAAACTAGGAAATTACACACACAACATTAAACTTAACAGTCAATGACGTTCTCTGTGGTCTAAGAGACGTTTAACCTTATTTAGGGCTGGGATGAAGCTGATGAAGGGGTAATCTGAACTCAGAATCGAACAGGATGGGATGTTTGTACTAACCATCCTGAGCGATCAGAGCTTGTGGGGATAAGAGAACACTTCCTGTTTCTGAAGATGTCTCAAGATGTCCAGAATAGAGTCCAACTCGGTACGGAAAACATCCAGTTCTCTGCTCTTGTCCTGAGCCAGACGCCTCCAGCATTCCACTTCTGACTGGAGATCAGCTGCTGGTGTCTGCCATGGCCCCTGAATGAGCTGAAGAGAGAGAGCTTCTGAGGTCAAAGCCTTTAAATATGTAAATGATGTACATTATCAATATCAGGAGGGCTGTGCAGTGGCGCAGTGGTTAGAGCTGTTGCCTTGCAGTGAGAAGGTCCTGGGTTCGATTCCCAGGCTGGGATCTTTCTGCATGGAGTTTGCATGCGTGGGTTCTCTCTGGGTACTCCGGCTTCCTCCCACAGTCCAAAAACATGACTGTTAGGTTGATTGGTCTGTCTAAATTGTCCTTAGGTGTGAATGTGTGTGCATGGTTGTTTGTCCTGTGTGTCTGTGTTAACCTGCGATGGACTGGCTCTCTGTCCAGGGTGTACCCCGCCTACTTGCCCGCTGACTGCTGGAGATAGGCACCAGCCCTCCCCCCGCGACCCTGCGTGGACAAGCGGGTTCAGAAGATAGATGGATGGATCAATATCAAGGCTCTGTCACGTAAAGAAAACTAGCTGGATCTGGCCACGCCCACTTAGGCTGCCATAAGCTGAGAAGCTCAGATATGCGGGAAGGGCTTGGAGTAGAGCTGCTGCTGCTCCTTGCTCTCTTGCATGTGAGGGGATTTTATTCTACTTTCCTCATTTGTGACAACACAAACAATGACTTTTTGAAACTGTTGCTAAATGTTAGTCACAGAACCGCCAACCACAAAACAACTAGTTCAAGCTACTGCTAATGTCCATGTTGGATGATGAGAGGAAAACACCATAGAGGAATATAGGAGAGCATGTGTAACAGATTTTGAATGAATGCCAAATCCATAGCTTGTGGTGTGGACCAACAGAGTATAGCTGCACACTTCCTTAACACACACACACACACACACACACACACACACACTTCCAATTGGTCCACTTGAGTAGACCAAACACTGCGATGCTGCTCTGGTGATGAGTCTCAGAGAATCTCTGTGTTCTACAACCATGATGTGAGTTTAAATGACAGCTTCAGCTTTGTGTTAAAATGAAGTCATGCACTAGTACCTGCTGCAGCTCCTCCTCTCTGTGCTGCTGTCTGAGCTCCATGGTCATGATCTTCCTCTCAAGGCTACACAAGAGTTTAACCTCAGAGCTCTGAGCTCCTCGGGCCTCCTTCAGCTCCTGCAGCAGCCTGGTTAGCTGCACACAATCAGAGACTCCGAGTCACACTCAGTAATAGAACTCACCACAATAACCAATGAATAAGAGGTTTGGGTTCAATTAAGCATGCAGCAGAGAGAGAACCTACGGATGAGAATAAATAAAACTGGGCCTATAAACCAGAAAACATAATTTACACATCAAATGCCGATTCTGACCCAATAATAGAACTTTTCCAGCACATTCCAGTCTCATTCTTCTGCACCCAAAAATCCCTGAACTAAAACTGACTAAGCTCTACGACTGGTAGGTCTGTTGTTCCAGCCACATGCTTGGTAAGTGAGAGCAATCATGTATGGTGGAACATCTAAATGCTGCACTGGGAAACTGAATATAGTAAATGCCACATTTCTGATAGGTCTTTAGATTATATTTGAATGTAAAATGTTAACTGTTACCTGTCAGAATAAAAACAGCTCACCTGCTTCTGCAGGACTTCTTCTCTGCCTTGTGAGAGTCTAAGTGCCTCTTTACATCCCTGAAGTTCACTCAGCTGTTCTTGCACATGTTTCATGGCTATCTGTAGGAAGATGTTCAAGTGAAACCAACTGGATTCCTTTCAGCCTCTCTGTGCAAACAAGGTCGGTGCACTGGTACCTCCTGACAGTTGAGTGTGTTGGTCAGCTCTGCAACCTTTGAAGATGAGTGCTCCAGGGCGTGGGTGGAACGCAAAGAGTCAAGCACCCTGAGATGTTCCACCTTCAGAGATGATAGCTGCTCTGCGTGGAGCTCCTTCAGCCTATGATGACATTAACAGCTTAAAGTTGTCACATTCATGTTGAAAACAAATGTTTCTGACATACCTACCGACACAACTCCTGATTAGCTTGCATAGCCTCAACCCTAAGCACCTCCTCCTTGTGCTCCTTCTCCTGTTGGAGCTGCTCCACACGCTGCTTCAGAGCCTCGTTCTCCTGCAGAACCTCTGTGATGTGATCCCCTGTCAGACGGAGAGAGGCACAGACAGGAAATGCTCAGATTACAGAAAGTTTCTTCCTTCCTACATTTTAAGTGATGCAGCCTGTATGTTTTGTTTTGGTAACCACACCATTTGTGATATAACTGATCTAACGAATCGATCCGCCATGACTCGACCTTTAGGTACACGGCACTTCTCAGGCAAGGATATGCCGCCAAAGAGCAGTACAAACATTCATAATAGAAGCTAAATAAAAACAGTAAGGAGACAAAACAAAAAGAATGAATAGCAACATGATGAGTTAACCCTAAGAGGAAAAACAGGTCTCGATTTAAAAACCACCACAGAAGAGGAGGAGTCTAATATTTTTGGAAGCTCTTTCCAGGTTTCTGGAACAGATAACGCTCTTTCCCACCAGGGCATTTAAGGGGGAACATACAGCCGCAGCATGTCAGAGCTGGAGCCAAAACATTTAAAGATTAAAAAGCTAATAAAACAACATTACATCCTGAAACCGACAGGTAGCCAGCGCTGGTGTAGCATGCTCAAACTTCTGCCCACCATTCAAGAATCTCCCAGCAGCATTTTGGACCAGCTGCAGACGAGCTACAGCACTCGGACTCCCAGCAATAAGAAGTGGTCTAGGCCGGAAGTTATTAATGGTTTCAAGGTCATGTGTGGTTTGACCAAATGATACAAGGAAGAGGCAACAACTCCTTTAATAAGGACATTAAAGCCAAGAGCATCCAAAATAACACCACAGGTGGGAGTTTAACTCATCACAATCAACCATAGAGCCTTCGTTAAAGCAGTTGGGCCCAAACAAAACTGCCTCTGTCTTACGTTTGCTTATGTACAAGAAGTTCTCAGCCATCCATGCCTCAGTGTGAGCCAAACAATCCAAAAGCTTTGAAATTGGGCGACCACCAGACTCATCCAGAGGTAGGTACAGCTGCTAATAATCAGTACACTGGTGAAACGCAATATCATACTTCTGCAAAATGTTGTCCAATGGCAGAATACACACAGAAAACAGCAGGGGTTCCAATATCGAACCCTGCGGAACCCCTCAAGGTAGATGAGCAACTTCAGATGGTAATCCAGCCCACAGGCTTTACAGGTCTAGAACCTTCATCACACCCAAACAGCATTCATTATCCTGTAAATGTGTGCATCACCAAGACAAAAACGGAGGATGACACACTTCCCCGAGGAGCTAGAATGGGATGACTGAACCGGCTCAGGGGGAGAGTGGAAGGCTAATGCAGCTCTTCTGGGGTTCTGACAGAACCAAATGATCCTTAGTCCTCCTGGACAACATGTGTTATAAGTAGTTTAACATAACATGTATGTTCTTTGCCCGTGGGAGGAAGTACTGTCCATGAGCAGAGCGTGCTAACTCCATACAGACAGACTGCAGCCAGGATTTCAACCTGCAACTTTTTGCTGCAATGCCACAGTGCAGCCCTAAAGTGTGAGTCCTAGTAAACATTCATAGGCAAAAGTGTTAATGGTGAGGGATCTAGACCTGTGAAGGCGGTGGGCTGGTAGGTCTTGTCATACTGAGCAGGTGGAAATGTTCCTGCATCATCCGTCTCTGCTTCAGCAGCAGAGAAGTGGGCTTTGATCTGGCCTGGGAGCTGCTTGGAGTCTGAAGAATAGAAGTCAGGTAGTGGGTTTGGTGCAAAGAGAACGTTTCTTTTCTCTCTCTGCATTCCTTCCACAGTGCGTCTAAGTTCCTGAATGCGTCTCGTCTTTGTAGCGAGCTCTTGGTTGAGTCGCTCTATTCTGGCCCCAAAGGCGGCCTCAGCTTGACGCTGGTGTCGGCATGGGCTTGGCCGGGCCTGCGTGGAAAGAGGTCTAGTTTGTAAGAATGAAGATTACGTTTCTTTTCCTTGTAATAACAAATCTGTACAGCTACTCTTTGACTTCTGAAGAAAGAAGCTGACTTTTATACTAACCATGTTTTTGACTTGCTTCTGCAGAGATTTGATCTGCTCTTGTAAATAATTCTCTTTCTCCTGGTGGTTATCCTTGAGAAGCTGCAGCTCATCCTCCAGTCTCCGACACTTGGACACCCACAGATCCGATCCTGGCGTTGCTTCAACCTGCTGCCTTTGTGCCAGCTGCAGCTCTAACTGGTGAATCTGGTTTTCATACTGCAGCTAAAGAGAGACACACAGTTTAGTTACAGGAGAAAACTCCTTGTTTTATTTGTCTTATCATGGATCTTTTATTCAAATCTGACTTGTTGCATCTTTTGTGTTGAAGTGTGGGTCTCTAATGCATCTATAAATACTCCAAAGTGAATAAAAACTTCCATCCCTTTTTCTGTCAGTGTTTTAAAATTAGCATAGAACCACCTGCTGAGTCCTCATCCACCAGAACTACTGAGGATCGGACATTTTTGTTTACTGGTATGCGGAGAGAGGATACACAGGAGGGGAGACGTTTCTCCACTATCCATGGAAAGTCTTAAGTGACAATTACATCAGTACATGCTCTGTATGGTTAGGGTTGGGACCCTAAGTTGCTGCGACTTGATCTGTAGGTCACTAAAACAACAATGTAGGACACGATAACGCTGCTAAGTAGTGACCTTTAACAACTTTACAGGCAAGAAACAATGACTATACAATAAAATGGCCCTCCCCTTGTTCCCACATTTACAATCTAAATTACTTTACATAGATCATGTTTATTATAAATAAAAATGTCTGTGTGACATGTGAGACACGTAGGTTTGACTCCTAACTGCTTTTTGGTAAAAACTTTACTGGAGGATAAATATTGAAATAAAGGTTTTGGTGCACATCATCTACTCATAATGTCAGAGTTTGTGCACGCTATAATAACAAACTATTGTTAACAGCCACATTAGGATGTGTACACTCACTAGCTACTTTATTGGGTACACCTGTCCAACTGCTTGTTAATGCAAATTACTAATCGTCCAATCACATGGAGGCAACTCAGTTCATTTAGGCATGTTAATGAAGCTCAAACTGAGCTTCAGAATTGGGAAGAAAGGTGATTTAAGTGAGTTTGAACATGGCACAATAGAAGATTGGAAAAATGTTGCCTAGTCTGATGATGATGGTAGGGTCAGAATTAGGGGACAACATAGCAGCGCCCACCCATCTCCTGACTGAATGCTATGGGTTGGGGGGCTCAGAGTAGAGCTGATGCTCCTCCCCATCCAGGGCAGAAGTCTCCCTTAGTCCACAGGTAGTGGTGGAGGTTGTTATATGCTTATTTTCCTTATTGTGATGTCACAATAAGGGACATTTTCAAAAAGCTCCTAGAAATATAAGATTTCTGAAAACAAATCCAGACAAAAAACGGATGCATGTTTTATTTTCAAACACTTGGAGTGTTTGTAGAGACAGTAGACACATCTGGAAACATAAAATGTATCACCTTCAACACTAGCTGCTGTTGCTTCCATCAAGGCTCATGTTTGTAGCTTTAACTGCTGCTTTAATACAACATGGCATCAGAATTGCTCTAACCTGTGCTCAGATCCTTTTAGCAATACCTTGAGACTGTGGAACCGTTGTTCCATGGCCTGTAGGCTGCGTTTAGCCTCTTCATCGTGACCCTCCAGTTCAGCCTCCAGATACTGAATCCTATGTTCAAGCAGACTGTTAATCCCACCAGACGAGGCCATCCTGAACGAGCTGCCGTGTTCGTCACTATCAGCCATAGATGCAGCGTAAATCATGGCGGGCAGTGAGTTTGGGTTTTTGCTCCTTAAAATCTGTTTAAGCTCCTTCACCTGGAGGAAACAGAAACATTATAAAGCAAATGGAGAGGATGACTCCATTAACTAGTCTGATTCATGCTACAGCTAGAAAAACCTGTCGCTCCAGATGCTGGATCTTCTTTGTGTCGGCAGATCTGCCTCTGCTCTTCTTCTGTTGATCACCGCTTCTTCTGACAACTTCCTGCTTCAGCTTTTCTACCTGAAATAATAACAACTACTTACTTCCATAACAGCAAACAAATGGAGCATGTGCCAGCACACGTTCTTCTACAGTTAACAGTGAGGATAATAGGCTCTTTCGTCAAATAATGAGGTGGTTCTCTCACATAAAAACCTCCACCAATAGCACTGTTCAGTCTGAAACCAACTATTGGAGCAGTCGGTTGGCGGTCTCTCTGAACCACCACATTTCCTTGGGTTCTCAATTCTCCACACACTCACATATTTAGCAACAAAACACCACTGGTATGAGAGGTTCTCCCATCAATGATATCAGAGAAGAAGAAACAACCAGCAGCTACCACTTCAACTTTAGGACAAACTACCCAAAAACTCCCAAAAAGAAAAATGGCATTTGAAGTCAGAGACAACAGACGTTTGAGACTGTTAAGCGCTCTGTGGTAGGGTTGTTTATGACAGGTGTAATTCTACTTTCAACCAGTAGGAGACAGAAGTGAGGAAACTTAATTCTCTGAGCTTTAGAAATGGAGACCCCCACCCCCTCTGCTTTCAGATTTGTAATCAGCATTTCTGTCACCTACCTTAAAGACATCATTCAAAGCTAATGTCTGTGTTTAATCTCCTGAATCTTGATTTACTGGCCAATTTGGGCAGAAAGAACGATCAGTGAGTAAACAGTGAATGTGAATAGTTACTTGTTCTTTAAGTTGGAGTATCTCAGCTGTAGCAGCCTTCAGTCTGCCAGCATCTCTGTCCAGCAGCTCCCGCTGCTCAGAAAACCTCTGCAGCTTCTCCGTCAGGGCTGCCACTTCCTGTTTGTGCTTCTCTTCCAGTACCTGCAGCTCCAACGTCTTATCTACCGATAGAGAGAAACATGTATGTGTTTGTATTTGTGCAAAGCTGTCACGGTCACGGTTACAAACAGGTGCTGTAACAGAACTTTAACAAATCTGCGGTTTTGCTAAAATTCCACAAACAACGGCTGATGACTAAAGGGATGATGATGATGTTACAAGACTGAGCAGAAGCAGATTTCTAACATGCATGAATTGAACCCAGACATGTCCAACCTGAGGTGGGGTTGACCTGAGCCTTTCCTGGGTCTCTCCCCTTCATTAGCTGTAGGTTGGACTCTAAAGACTGCTTCTCCTGCGTCAGCCTCTGGTTGTCCTCAGACAGCTTAGTCTCATTCTTCTGCACACACAAAAGCACGTCTGTTGAGCGGACAAACGTAGAACGTTAACCCCAGCAGCCAGACAGGGTTACATACCTGGAGAACACTGATTTGGACCAAAAGGTCGGAGATTTGTTGAGAGTGATTCATCGTACACATGATGGCCAAAGGTCTCGTAGCTCTCCTCAGCTGCTCCCTGGGGAGGATGGGAAGAGTCTTAAACACTAATTTTAAATAAACATTTAAAAGAACGTTGTCCAGGTCAACATTCTAATAAACACTGAACTCACTGTGTAAATGCCAGCTGACTCAGCAGCCTCTGGTTTTCACTTAACATGGCCTCCTCGTTGACTTTTCTCCTGGCCTGCTGAGACTTCATTTCCGAGTAGAGCTTTTCATTCTCCTGCAAACATCTTTAGTTTACCATCACATAGTCACATGACCAGTCTGGGGTCTGTGTGGCTCTGCATCAACCACGAATTAGGTTCTTCTTTGAAGTATCCTGAGTCCCTGTCCTGTCCTCTTACCTCCTGCCAGAGGCAACAGCTGCCTGACTCTGCTGCACCAGATTAAATCATCTGTTCATTCTGTTGGCTTCCTCAGATTAAACATTTGGGTTTACAGACTGACTAGTTTGATTAGAATCATAACTGGACTGAAATAAGAGTTTTGTTACTTCTTTATGTATTTTTATGACGTGTTCATAAATAAGCTCAGATTTTGTCCCATAGGGGTGTTTACTATGGGGTGTCAGCCAGGCCTCTCCACTGATGAATGAATGGGTGAAAACAGCTCTCCTCCCTAAAGGAAGTGGCGTTTAGGCTGATGAGACTTGGGTCCTGCTTGGCAGAGACAGGTGGTGTGTAGTAATTGAAGCGCCACAGACCATCACACAGTTTCATCCCGATGGTTTATAACTAAATGCTCCATTGTGGCTTCATTTTCTCATCAGTCAGCTTTAGCTTTGGGTACAACGAAACCTGACCAGTGTGCATCTACTCAGGCTGCAGCAGCAGGGAAAAGAAAAGCTTTGTTATTTGCTCCAATCCTGAAACAACTGAGGTTTCCACTGACACAAACCTGCTGGTACCCTTTGATGAGAACCTCCTGCTCCATTATTTCTTTGTTTATTTGTACAAGTCTCTCCTCTGTAACAGGACCAGCCAGCTCCAAGTGTCTCCTCTTCCTATTGGCTCCTTCTTCTGTTTGCAGCTATACAGAGAAAAACAAACAACTTAAAAGTAATAATTTACTATTATTCATCACTGACCCACACAAAATGGTTAGATAGATTATCCCAGAGCTGCTCAGACTAATCTTAAAAACTTCTCCTTTTATGGATCACTTACAGAAACGTAGCAGCAAAAACCAAACCTGAGATCTTTTGGGACTGGTGGGTGCATGTTTTGGTAAAGACATGTTCTTACACCTAAATGAGGACGAGGCAGACTGGATGCCTGAGAAGCTGGGACGTCCTCTGCAGCATCCGACTGGTGACTGGAATCTTTCTGCTGTTGGAGAACAGCCTCTGAGGGCTGAACCAATCCAAACAGGTTGCTGATCACGTTCACATCTGACTCTGCCAAACAGAAAAACATGCTTTCAGCTGTTCTCCAGACGTTCACCAAGCACTGAACTGATCACAACAACTCCACATAGGCTGTGACATCAAGTCTGTTGGCAAGATTTAAACATCACACCTTCACACAAACAAAGCACATGCATGAGTCAGCCAGGGCGACATTCCTACCTGCAGAGACTCTGTCGTCTCTTTCTGGGTTCTTAGTGGGTTTGGTCTTTGAGGGGAGGGTCGTGGGCACTGCAGCAGTTTTACTCATCCTGGATGATTTATAGTTCATGGCTGCTCTTCGGTCTACTGCCCTGCCTCTCATAGTCGTCGTTTCTGAAGATGCAGAGAAATGAAAGCCAGAGGAGCCATGGGAAGCCTGGGGAAACGTATGATAGACATATGTATAAATAAGATAACACTGATGGATATTCCAAATCTAATAATAATAATGAGTGTCATTATTCCCACCAGGTGTTTCTGAGCTTTGCTAGAATGTGTTTGTGATGAGTCATTCTGGTCCTGCATCAGTCTGTCCACTTCCTCCCTGATGCTCCATGTCAGGTCATGGTTTGGTGGCTCTGGAGACTTGGACAGGTCATTTTTCAATTCCCAGATTCCCTTGACTCCCGTAGTGGGTCCGATCTTTCCTGGATGCTTCAGGTCCGACTCAATATGGGTTCCTTCTGTGTTTGAGGGCTCTGCACCTCTGAAATCAGGTGTTTTACAGGAGGTAGAATCTACTACTTAGATTATAAAAACTAAAACACACCAAACTAACTATAACTATGGTAGCAATAAGCCAGTGACTAAAGCTTGACCAGATCCATTCACATAAAGCCATAACCTGTTCTCCAAGGTGCTTTCATTATGTAACTGTGGAAAATCAGCAGGTTATCCTTTAAGTCTTACTGTTCTCACATGGAGATGTTATATCACATTTGACTAATGTTACCATACCAGTACACCACTGACAGTTACTGTACATGTTTATGGATCCTGAAATGATCTTTAAATACTTGACTAAGGACTAATGGATAAAGACCTCTATGCTCCAACAAACCAGCAGCTGGTGATTTCAACCCTTGTGGTCTGCAGTCCTCACCTGAAAGGCTGGAGGGTGAAGCCTCTTGTTTGGTTGTCTGCTGGTTGGATAGGCCTCATCAGTTCCTCTGCAGTGGGCAGGCCTAAAGCCACATGCATGCAAAAAAAAAACACACACAAGCAGCAACAACTCATCACTTCCTGCCCACTAAGCTGCTGGTAACAAACAGAAGTGTTGTGTCTAAAAGGTGCTGAGCTGCAGAAATAAAAACAGAAATCCTCCTCTACAGCTGTGTTTACTTCTATAAGAGGGGGCTAATACGAGCTGAGACGTCTGGCTTTATTACATTATACACCATATTTAAATTTAAACATACTCAAGAGGGATTTTTTAAGGACTCATCATAAACGATCCTTTCACCAAGGTAAAAGCTTCATCTTCACTTCATACTGCTCATTTAATCTGACAGACAATAATCATGACCACACATGGGGAGGCCCTGCCTGACTCAGGAGTATCTGACCTGATTCACTGGTGGAAGCAAGCTGGAGAGGGTTTTGAACAAGTTGAGGAGAAGATAACGGAGACTCTGGTCTGACGATCCCCTTGTTTTCTTTAAGGGATGAATGAAGGTGATCCTCTGAGTCTTTTGTAGTTTGAATCTGTCTGTAAGCTTCGTGAAGAGCCTCCATCTCTGACCCTCCGCTCTGTCCATACACCTGGCCTGTGAAAAAAGTATTCAAATTCTATCTAAAAAGGGAAAAGTCAAAACAACTGGTCCAAAAAAATAATTACGTGCTGCACAAAGTCTGCTATGAAAATGATTAAAAGTTCCTGAGAAGCCAATTGAGGTAGCGTGGGCATACAGGACACCTCCTTGGTGAGATTTACCAGGCATGTCCAACCAGGAGACCTAAAGGAGGACTCAGGACATGCTGGAGGACCTATGTTTGATCTGGCCAGGGAACGCCTTGGGATTACCCCAGAGGAGCTGGCCCAAGTGGGCGTGGAGACGAGAGTCTGGGCCTCTCTGCTCAGAGGTATTTAGGATCCCCCTACCAGAACTTTAAGTTGCTCCCCTTCGAGTTGTGGGTTTTGTGTGGTTTTAACACATTTTAGCACAACAACAGCTGTACTGGATGAATTTTTGACATTTTAATTCTTAAAATGGTGTTTTTGCCTGAAATGACCACATTTCACAGTGTGAGGAATGTTTTACTTCTTTACGTCTCTGCAACTCGATGACACTTGTTTTTTACCTCTGTCTGGTGACCCATCGGTGTCCTTCCTTCTGTCCTCTTCACCGATTACTTCCACTGAATCATAAATATAAACTCAGACCAAAGTAACAACACTCAGTAGTTTACTATTAGAATCAGAAACATAACCATAACCCTAACGATAGCTGTTCAGCTGTTAGTCATTATTAGCGTTTATTAAATGAGTGGTTCGTGAAAAGCTATCATCTCTTGTTGTGTTTGAGTGCCACACCTACCCGGAACCTCAATACAATACGGCCTTTTACTTCCCTCAAGACTTGGAGACATTTTAGTTTTCTGCAAAACAGAAACGAACATGAACAGGTGAACTGTGAGGCAGCAAGGTGTCAATCTGACCTTCCTTAAAAACAATTCTGCTCTTACTAACATTAAACTCCCAACAAGACAAAAAAGGGCTTGTCCGTGATAAGTTCATCAATGACTGTGTCACAACTGAGTGTTTATTAATTACATAATGCTTCTAAACCGGATTTTACCCAGGGAACACCAGCTGACAATCATGGGTTTAAACCAAGGGAGCACCACACGAATCCAAAAATCCAAAAACATTTGTTCATTTGGTCCCACCCTCAGCTCCACCTCTTTTCCCCTTTTTGAATTGTTTGGGCATGACGAGACGTGTGACATGGCCAAATTTCCCTCAAATGAGAGAAATTAGAGAAATGGGCGGTCCTACATCCAGAAATTAATATACGTCTATGGTAGGGACGTCCCGTTCCGATACTGACATCGGATATCGGCCCAAAAACACAGTATCGGATCAAAAACCTCCCATATTAGCAGTACGTTCCGTTTTAAATTCCAGTCCAGCAATTCTATCCAGCAGCGCCCAGATCCAGCATGTAAAGTCTGCGTGATCAGAACAGTGTGTGCTAGCAAAGTAGCAGGGAACAATGTCAGCCATGTGGCTGTATTTTTTGTTAAAGTCAGAAAAAGACAGTTTGGCTCAGTGCAGCACTTGTCATGCACGAGTTTCCTGTGGTGGAACAGAACCGGGGAAAATTAACACATCCAACCTCATCTTGCATTTGAAGCAGCATCACAAAACATTACATGAGGATTTTTGCAGTGTGTGAAATTGAAACTTTAGACACTCATGACACGCTTGATCAAGCCTTTTATACATTCCGCACTATGAAATAGGTAAAAGTATGTACGATTTGTGCTGACATATCGAACTGATATCGGTATCTGTCAGTACTGAAGGTTGCAATATCGGTATCGTATCGGAACATCCCTAGTCTATGGTTTCAACATTTCAAACAGTCTCTTCACTATTAAGCAACAAAATCAAAGGATGATAAACATGAAAAGAAAAGTCTTATTATCGGCACTCACTTTTGATTGTTTTGATTTAGGTATTGATGAGTTTCCTTGTTCTAATAAGTTGATCACATCCTTGGAGGTTTTTATGTAAGGTCTGCAGAAAGCAATTAAAGACCTCCCGCTGACCACATTTGTGGGATCATTTCAAGACACAGAACAGAGAAAAACAGAGGAAGACGCTTCTGAAATCACTCTACACAAAACAGAGCATGAATGGATGCTTCAGAATAGCAAGAAGATTTGACAGTTTCAAATCCAGGTTGATCTGCAGCAGCAAAGCAAGAGGAGTATGTTCGGGAAGCAGTTATGTTGGTTCATTGAATCAAAGAAAGTAAGGAGGTAGTTCCAAAAAAAAAAAGGTGCGGCAGCCTGGAACAAAGCTTTGTAACCCCGCCAAACCAAGTAGGTAATAGTGGAAAAGGGACGATGTCTAATTTTCACCAGCTGATTATTATTATTTATCCATTTGTAGAGTTGGTCCACAGTTCCACGGCCAGGACGAAAACCACATTGCTCCTCCTCAATCTGAGATTCAACTATCGATCTGACCCTCCTCTCCAGTACCTTGGAGTAGACCTTTCCAGGGAGGCTGAGGAGTGTGATCCCCCTATAGTTGGAACACACCCTCAGGTCACCCTTCTTAAAGATGGGGACCACCACCCCGGTCTGCCACTCCACAAGAACTGCCCCCGATGACCACGCAATGTTGCAGAGACGTGTCAACCACGACAGCCCTACAACATCCATAGCCTTGAGATACCCAGGACGAATCTCATCCGCCCCCGGGGCTCCGCCGCTGTGTAGATGTTTGACTACCTCAGCAACGTCTGCCCCCGAGATTGAACAGTCCATCCCCACGTCTCCCGGCTCTGGTTCCTCCTCGGAATGCGCGTAGGTGGGATTGAGTGGTGAAGAGGGAGCTGAGCCAGAAAGCCAGGCCCTCGATTTACCGGTCGATCTACGTCCCAATCCTCACCTATGGTCATGAGCTTTGGGTAGTGACCGAAAGAATGAGATCGCGGATACAAGCGGCCGAAATGAGTTTCCTCGGTAGGGTGGCCGGGCTCAGCCTCAGAGATAGGGTGAGGAGCTCGGACATTCAGGAGGGACTCGGAGTAGAACCGCTGCTCAGGAGGTTACATCTCCAATCTGGTCCGGGAACGCCTTGGGGTCCTGCTGGAGGAGCTGGTGGAGGTGGCCAGGGAGAGGACGGTATGGAGCTCCCTAGTTGGGATGCTGCCCCCGCGACCCGGACCCGGATAAGCGGAGGAAGAAGACGAAGACGACGACAACGATCCATTTGTCATGAAATAAGCTGTTATTTCCATTACCACAGCAGAGTTTTTCCTTTCTTTAAATCAAGGGAACCAACGCTTTTATCCATGATGTGAGGCACACAGACATACTCTATGGCAGCTCATTTGATTTTTGCTTATGTGCAGTCTTCCTACACTGGGAACTACTTGGCTAGCAGGTTTGGTGTGAGTGTCTCACTTTTGTTTACTTTTTAATCACACACTGAGCTGTTTTCACTTACTATGAGCTGCTTTTTATTTTACATAAAGTTTAGATTCAACTAACCAGCCATTTTATGTTCAGATAAACTTTTAACTTAAGCATGACTAGTTCTATGATTAGTATAGCAAACCTCCTCTTCCAGCTCTTTTATGCCCTCATCATCTTCAAAGTCTTCACTGTAGTGTGGAGACTCAGCGTGGTCTGAGAGGACAAAAATGTGGTGAAGGCACTGAGACGCACAGCTGAGTTCGTGCTCATCCCGTTGCTCCTACCTTGAAACTTTCCAACAGCCTCTGTGACCATGACTTTATCAGCTTCTTTGTTCTGCTCCATTTCTACATTTTCCGCTATCCTGGAAAAAGAATTTGCACTTTGGATTAAAGGTAAACTCGCGAGCTGCAGCTTCAAAACCAGTTTCACCAACTCTTCCTGAGGCTAAGGTCTCATTTTTATAGAAATATCCCAAAGAAATGGTCACCGCCGTGAAATCACAGTTATTCAACACTCATTCGAGTTTGGAACCACGTCACATTTCTGTGTGGTTCAAAATTAGCAAGTCAAGCTGGATTATTTATGATTTTCGTTCATCTGACCCAGTTTCCATTCTTGTAAATGAATCCATTCTAACATTACACATAGGGTTTCTCTGGCGTTTCCTGGTTGTTAAACCCACTGACTCTATACGGTACAGCTCAGTAAATTATCAAAAAAAAATGTTCATAGGCAAAAAAGAATAAAATTCATGTTATATAGCTATTTGACATACTGTGAGAATGATTTAATTTCTTTTCAGTTTGATATTTATCTCATGATTATGTCAGTAAAACAATCACATGCAGAAGTGAAGGCCTACACGGGGGTTTATGGGAGTTGGAGGAGGAAGTAAGGAAGTAAAACGATGTTTTGCGATCTGTTTAATTTGACTTGTACACAACAAACACTTTCTTGACAATCCATTTATTGTGTACAGAGATAAGTGTAAAAATAAAGTGTGTTAATACAAAAAAAAGGCTGGGCAGCTGTGTGAGTGGTTCTGGTACTTTAGGGTCACAGCGCTGCATCAAGAGGGCGATACACACACGAGGGACGAGCAAAATATCTAACATGTTTGATAATCGTGTGACTGCATGATTTTTAACCGAGAGCTGGTTGTGATGTGTTTAATCACTTCTCATTACCCCCTGGATTCTACATAACATGAGGTAAAACTCCCGACATCAAAGATTCTTGCACGAGAGGAAAATTGACTCAACATCCCACAGTGTACGCCCGACTTAAGGCGCATTTTTCAAGCAGGAAGCTTAAAATGCAATTTGCAAACAGAACAGATCATTCCGTTCATTTAACTAGGCGGCCCCGTCTGGCTACACCTCCTGTTCAGTTGCTCTGGGCCAAGAACGAGTGATTTGTGCGCGTAGAGAATTATGCGCGAGTGGGGAGGTTTGCATCAGAGAACAGTTTGAAGGATGAGTTATGATCCGATCATTAAGAATGGGACGTTCACAATGATTGGATGAGTTTCTAGGACTGTACATTTAAAATAATTCATTTTTTAACAAAACATTTATTAATTGGTTGCCATCCGAATGTCAAGAACATTTTATGAAATATGTTAAAATGTTTCACGTTTTTTTATATTAAGATGAGGGAGCAGCCGGTTAGCCTTTTCTGAAGCTAAAACAACATCTTCAATAAGACCTTGAATCAATGAAATGCTGAGCGAGTGTCTCAGACACACCTGAGGTCCGTGGCCATGATGGAACTGGTCGAGTCCAACTCCCTGTTCAGCTTGGAGTAATCTATAGTGGATGAAGTTCCTGATTCTAGCTGTGCAAAGAACCTGGCCTTCTCCTCCTCTTCCTCTTGAGTTTCTAAGCCCACATTAGTCACGTCCACAGCAGGCATCAGCTCTGATTCTGAACTCACAGGAAGGAGTAAAGTGTCTGAGGGAAAAAAATAATAAATTTTACCCATGAGAACTTGTGTTTCTCTGCTTCAAGGAGCTGAGATGAAATAAAATGTGACAGCTCAGCGTCCTACTGGAGGAAACACAGAAAATAAACACTTGTGATCATTTTTCTCTACACTGCTCTTCTTGTCAAACGATTTTTATGCTGTCCTGTTCAAAAAAAGTTAAACTAAATTTTAATTAAATAATCATCAGCAATCGGTAGATTCAATATTGTAACAGAAATAACTCGAGTGTTAATATAGACTACAAATATATACAACAATAATAACTAATAGAATTAAAAGATTCCTTCCAGACATAAATGATGAGGACCAATGTGGCTTTGTAGTAAGGAGGAAAACACAAGAAAGCATACGAAGAACACCACATATAATACGAAAAAATTACCGGCAACTATAATAAGCTTTGATGCAGAAAAAGCATTTGATAGGGTAAATTGGGAATTCCTATATGCAACTTTAAAAAAAAATTGGATTTAATTCACAAACAGTAAATTGTATTAAGGTCCTATACAAAGAACCAAGAGCACAAATTAAAATAAATGGATCAATATCAGACGAGATAAAGGTAACAAGAGGAACGAGACAGGGCTGTTGCCTCAGCCCTACTCTGTTCGTGCTATATATCGAACCTTTAGCCCAGGCAATTAGACAGGAGGAAGAAATAAAAGGAATAGAAATTAACAACAATGAAGTCTTTTTGCAGATGATGTATTGATATACCTTAAAAACCTGAATAATAATCTTAAGAACCTATTAGAACTAATGAAAACCTATGGGGAACACTCAGGATACAAGATCAACATACATAAAGCACAAGCACTGCTATATGATCAGACACTAAAAACAGAACTGAACAAACACAAGATTAAATAGGACAATAATCACATCAAATATTTAGGAGTCAACATAACTAAAGACCTGAAGAATCTATTTAAACAAAATTATGAGGAATTAAACTAAGCGATAAACAAAGACCTGAACAGATGGACATCCTACCCATTACAATTGTACGACAGAATAAACATTATCAAAATAAATTTACCACCACAACTCCTGTATATGTTCCAATCCCTCCCAATACCAATACCAACAATACAATTCAACAAATGGAATAAACAAATAAGATTCATTTGGAAAAGCAAAAAACCAAGAATTAGAAAATCTACCCTACAAAGAACAAGGAGGGAGGGCTGTGCCAAACATAAATTGGTACTACCAGGCAGCGCAAATTGGACCACTCATAGAATGATGTGACCCACAAAACTTAAACCACTGGAAAACAATAGAGACAGAAGGAAAAGAAATACCAATCCAAATATTACTGGGGGAAATACCAAAAATGAATATTGGACAAAAAATATAGAAAAATTGGACCCAATAACAAAGTTTAGCTTGGAAACCTGGTGGAAGACAAGCAAGAAACTAAAAATAGACAGAGAAATAAGATTACTAAGATGGATAGGTTGGGACTCGGACTTTGAACCGGGGAAGATGGACAATAGATTCAAAAAATTGAACGAGACAGGAATGACAGCAATAGGAACAATTCAGAAAAAAGGGGTGGTAAACAGTTTCCAAGAACTTAAAGAAAATTTTGAAGTGGAAAATAAGGATATGATTAGATATCTACAACTAAGAGACTACTATACCAACCAAATTCAAAATAAAATTCAAGGGAATAATCAAATAATAATGATGATTCAAACAAATACAAAACCAGCACCCAAAAGAAAGCCATCATTAATATATAAAACATTAGTAACTATAGAAAACCAATCAACGCAATATATCAAAGAAATACTGGAAGGGGAATGGAATGAGATGTGGGAAACACAAAATAGGGCAACACAATCACAAAAATGGAGGGAATTTGCCTGGCAGAACCAAATAAGATACTTTTTCACACCTAAAATTACAAGTAAACAAATACAGAAACAAATGAGCTGTTGGGAGGAATTGTGGAAATATAAACCCCAACCATACCCATATATTCTGGGAATGCAAGAAAATAAAACCTTTTTGGAACCAAATATACAAGAACACCAAAATAACATTAGGATATTATATTCCACAGACATTTAAATTAATGTACCTAGGATCCATACGGGAAGAAATAGCAAAGGGAGATCAATACCTAACGAGGATACTTATTATAGCAGCCAAGAAGGCAATCACTAGGAAATGGCTCAGACCAGAGACCCCAACAATAGAAGAATGGAGGACAATATAGAGCCCTGCACGGGCCTAAAATCTGAGCCCGTGTCCGGCCCGGCCCGAGGGGGTGGAGCCCCAGCCCGACCCGGCCCGAAAAGGTTTTCAGGATTCTCTGGCCCGACCCGAGCCCGACTTTTTTCTAACCAACTAAATGAAAACAAAGTGCGTCAATCTTGACCTATGTGTTAAAAGATGTGCAGGATCCGAGCGTCGCAGAAGCGCATGCGGGAAGCTTCCTCCCACTCAAGCGAGTGTTTTCCAAACTCCGTCACTCAGAGAGACTTGTCACTTAGAAAATGTTCCCTGATTATGAAACTTTGGCTGAATAGCGCTTGTTCCTGTCTCCAATGTGCGACACATCCAGGAGCCGTCTGAGGAGAAGCCTAGAATCTCACATCCTCTTCAGCTCATAAGCGCCTATTACGCACAAGCGTGACCCAACACGGTTTCACATTAAGACTGGGTTGGAACTGTTCAGGTTTACGCAGACAATCTTCACATAGAATTGACTTACAGATATAAAATTAATTCAGTGAAATATAAAGCATTTTATTTAAATATCCATTTATTATTTTACAAGCACAGATAGGCCGCATCAGATGGATGGAAGAGCTGCGGGTTGCCGATCCCTGCTCTAGTTCAAAATATCATTAAAATTCCAAAAAAGCTGAAAAGATTAAAAATGGGGCTTTCCGTGCATATACAATACATTACGGTATCCACTGGGATTCCCTGTCTTGAGCGCAACGAATCACAACACAGATTCAGAGACGTGCGAGTTTGTCATCCAAAATGCTTCGTTTTACAACTTTTGAATGGCTGATCAGATTCAAATAATTCCAACGGTTCCTAAAAGTACATAAAAGCAGCTTTCCAACGATCTATAGCATGAAGCAATCAGAGTTAGAGAAAATATCGCTACGAGGGGAAATCCTGCTGTACAGCCTGATTGAAACGGAGCGCAGCGCTGCGGTGAAAGCGGATAACCTATAAAATGACATGTTGAGGACGCAAATTCAATACATCTATTTTATTGTGAGGCAATAATTTCTCCGAGTTTTGCGGTTGCGGGCGGGAGTAGACATGCACGCTGCAGGTGCGGACGGGAGTGTAACACACATGTTGCGGTTGCAGGCTGTAATGGTCAGAAATTCAGGGGGAGCGGGCAGGAGCGGGATGGAGAAAACAGTCCCGCGCAGGGCTCTACTGCTGCGTGTAAGTGTTTTAATTTTTGTTTTAATGATTTCGATTAAAAATAAAGGCGCCCGGCCCGGCCCGTGGTAATTGCACAGTTGTTGGCCTGAAGCCCGGCCCTCGGGCCGTCGGGCCGGGCCGACCCGAGGGCCTAGGGCTTCAGTGCAGGGCTCTAGGACAATAGTTGAAGAAATACAGGAAATGGAGACACTGACCTACAGACTAATAACTGAAAGAGGAACAACTGCAAAAACAATGGGCTAAATGGAGACGTAATAAGCATATGGATATGAGAAAATAAATGGCAAGGAGAAACCTGCAGATGAGCCGACCTTTTTTTTTTATCTTATTTTATTTTATTTTATTATTTATATAATTTTTTTTTTTTGCATTGTAAGTACTCAAAAGGAAAAGTTGAATAATTATTGATAGGTAAGGATAAGAAAGTCAAGAAGATAGAAATAGCAGCACTGAAACTGCATTAGTGAGAGTTACAAATGATATTCTCATGGCCTCAGATAAGAATCTTGTGTCTGTTCTAGTCTTGTTAGATCTCAGTGCTGCCTTTGACACAGTTGATCACAATGTTCTTTTAGAAAGACTTGAACATGTTGTAGGGATCAAAGAAACAGCGCTAGGCTGGTTTAAATCCTACCTGTCTGACAGATTTCATTTTGTAAATGTACATGACAAATCGTCTTCATACTCCAGGGTTACTTGCGGAGTACCACAGAGTTCAGTGCTTGGACCAATTCTTTTTACTATATATATGCTCCCAATTGGTAAAATCATTAGACAGCATGGGATAAACTTCCACTGTTATGCTGACGATACTCAGTTATATTTATCCATTAACCCTGATGAACCTAATCGGTTGGGTAGATTACAGGCTTGTCTTGAGGACATTAATTCCAGCCTACAAAACATCCTTAACACCTTGGCTCCATTAAAAACCCGTACGGTCTGTTTTTCCACCTCTGCCCCCTGGTTCACATCTAACCTCAGAACATTAAAAGCTGAAGGACGCCAGCTGGAGCGCCTCTACAAGAGAACGGGCCTCTCTATACACAAAGACCTGTACATCGCCCACCTAGCCCGTTATAAGGATTCTATTTCTCACACCAAATCAGATTACTACTCCAATATCATCAACTATAACAACGGAAACTCCAAAACTCTTTCCTCAGTCCTCCATAAAATTTTCAATTCTCCCTCTATACTACCCCCTCACTTCTACTCCACTGACACCTGTAATAGCATCCTTTCTTTTTTTAACCATAAAATCACACAAATCCACCAGAGTCTTAGCCCGGCTGACCCCCACACACTTCCCCCTGATGATCTCACGTTCTCTGAATCCTTCTCAGACTTCTCAGTTCCTGATGCCTCTTATATCTCGGATTTAATATGCAAATCCAAGCCCACCACCTGTCAGCTTGACCCACTCCCATCTTCCCTGGTTAAATCCTGCCTCTCATCCCTGTTACCCTTCATTTGCTCCATCATCCATGCCTCCCTCCAGACTGGAATCGTTCCCTCAGCGTTTAAAACTGCAGCTCTAACCCCGTTTCTCAAAAAGCCCGGCTCAGACCCAAACAATTTTAATAACCTTCGCCCCATCTCCAACTTACCATTTATCTCTAAGATACTTGAAAAAGTTGTTGCTAACCAACTACACACTCATCTATCCAGCAACTCCCTCTACGAAGTCTTCCAGTCTGGTTTCCGCCCCCACCACAGCACAGAAACGGCTCTGATCAAAATCACAAACGACCTCCTTCTTGCAACAGACTCAGGCCATATTTCCATTCTCATCCTACTCGATCTCAGTGCAGCATTTGACACCATCTCACACACAGTTCTACTCCATAGACTATCCACCATCGGCATTTCAAAAACTCCTCTAAATTGGCTCAAATCATATCTATCTAATCGCACTCAATTCGTCCAACTGCGCACCTTCCACTCTAACCCCAAGCCAGTTACCTCTGGAGTTCCTCAGGGCTCAGTCTTAGGTCCCCTTCTTTTCATAATCTACTTACTCCCACTTGGCAATATCCTCAGGAAATTTAATATTCATTTTCACTGCTACGCCGATGACACCCAGCTCTACTTCTCTACCCAACCAAACCTCCCGTTCCCTTCATCCTCCCTTCTCAGTTGCCTCACCGAAGTCAAATCCTGGTTTGCTTCTAACTTTCTACAGCTCAACAGTAATAAGACTGAGATCCTCCTCACTGGCACCAAGTCATCTCTATCCAAGACCAGTTCATTCTCACTCAGCTTCGACAACACCACACTTCTCCCCACCGCCAAAGCTAAGAGCTTGGGTGTCATCTTAGACAACACCTTATCTTTCATTCCTCATATTAACAACACAATAAAAACTGCTTATTTTCATCTTCGCAATATCAATCGGCTCCGCCCCTCCCTCAGTCAGCACTCCGCTGCTATTTTGGTCCACAGCCTGGTCACCAGTCGCATTGATTACTGTAATGCCCTCCTCTCTGGTCTCCCTTTAAAATCACTCAACAAGTTACAGTCAGTCCAAAATTCAGCTGCCCGGATAATCACCAAGACCACAACTTTTGATCACATCACCCCTGTCCTGCAACAACTTCACTGGCTCCCTGTCAAATACAGAATTGACTACAAGATACTTCTTCATGCCTTTAAAGCCATCCATAATCTCGCTCCCCCATATCTTTCTGATCTCCTCCACATTGTCACTCCCACTCGCTCTCTCCGATCATCATCTTCACCTTCCCTGTCCGTTCCTCGCACTCGACTTAGTACTATGGGAGCCAGAGCTTTCAGCCACTCAGCTCCAAAACTCTGGAACACTCTACCGCCCGACCTCCGCAATATAAACTCCTTCTCAACCTTCAAGTCTCAACTCAAAACTCACATGTTCCGCCTGGCTTACTCACTGTAACTGTCCTTCATCCATCTACTCTTTTTAGTCTATTATCCATCGCACTGCTCAGACTCTACCTTTGGGAATTACTTTTAGCATTTGTTTCTTGTTGTTTATATTGCTTGCTTGTTATATTTTGTCCTGTACAGTGACCTTGAGAGCTTTGAAAGGCGCTTGAAATAAAATGTATTATTATTATTATAAAAAATTGGATGACTCTAAACTTTTTGCTTTTAAATCAAGACAAGACGGAAGTTCTCATCTTTGGACCAGAAATCCAGAAAAGGAAATTGCTTAGCCAATCGCCTGACCTGAATGGCATTACATTAATCTCCAAGAACAAAGTAAGGAACCTTGGTGTTATCTTTGACCAGGACATGTCATTCAAATCCCAGGTTAAACAGGTTTGTAGGATTTCCTTTTTCCACCTTCGGAATATTGCAAAGATTAGAAGCATCCTTTCCAGGAGTGATGCTGAAAAACTAGTTCATGCATTTATTACATCAAGACTGGATAACTGTAATTCATTGCTCTCAGGAAGTCCACAGAATGTAGTTAAAAGTCTTCAGCTTGTCCAAAATGCTGCAGCTAGAGTTCTGATGAGAATTAAAAAGAGAGATCATATCTCTCCTGTCTTAGCTTCCCTACATTCGCTACCTGTTAAATTCAGAATAGATCTTAAGATCCTTCTTCTCACATATAAAGCTCTTAATAATCAAGCTCCATCATACATCAGTGATCTGATTGTTCCATATGTTCCTAACCGAGCACTTCGCTCTCAGACTGCAGGTCTACTGGTGGTTCCCAGAATATCTGAAATTAGGATGGGAGGCAGATCTTTTAGTTATCAGGCTCCTCTCCTGTGGAACCAGCTCCCAGCTTTAGTCTGTGAGGCAGACACCTTGTCTACTTTTAAAAATAGGCTTAAAACATTTTTATTTGATAGGGCCTATGGTTAAAATCTGATGTTAGCCTAAATCTGGACAAGTGGGGGATTACAGGGAGGTGGAGTGTACAGTCGGTAAAGACGGCTCTCCCTTGCCCTGACTCCAACATGCCTCCATCTAAATAGGATAGATTATCCAGAGTTATCTCTGTAGTTATGCTGCTGTAGGCTTAGACTGCTGGAGGATACACTGACCACTTTTCACACTCTACTGCTTTCTTCTACAGTATGCTCTTTAACTGTACTATTTTCTGCAATTTCAGCTGTTACCTTTATTTTCTCTGTAAGTGTTTTTCTCCCCAGAAGAAGCTACAACGATGTTCTGCTGAGCTGTGGTGGCCTCATGGAGGGGGCCATCGTCTAGCACACTGCTGCTAACCACTAAAACATTCTCCCTCTCCTGATAATAACTTTTTGCTTTCCTTGACGTTGGATGTGCTAATACTAGTTTATCCATTTAATTATAGATCCACTAGGACAAACACAATCAAGTTTATCTTTCACCAAATAGAATATTTACGAAGACATCACAATATAACTATAGACACATTACTTGTCTTTGTGTGTGTGTGTGTTTGTGCGTGTGCGTGTGTGTGTGTGTGTGCGCCTGCTCTGTCTTCTCGATCCCCAGTGAGTCATGGAGGATGGCTGCTTATATTGAGCCAGGATTCTCTGGAGGTTTCTTTCTGTTAAAAGGGAGTTTTCCTCTCCACTGTCGCTTTATGCTTGCTTAGTATGAGGATTGCTGTATAGTCACTGACACTAGTCAGACTAGTCAGACGACTCTTGTTGTGATTTGGCGCAATATAAATAAACTTGAATTGAATTGAATTGAAATAGAAAGACAGAGGGTTTAACCAGGGAAGGAATAGAAACATGTGAACAAAGAAGAGAATGACAAGAAAAGAAGAAAAAGACAAAGTGAAATGAATAAAGGTGGAAGAATACAATCAAAGGAAGACCACTAGAAAACCAACAAGGGAAAATGAAAAGAACTCATTATGAAGACGAAAGAACTTGGGAAGACCTAAACACTAAAAATATTATGCATGCTGAGTACGATGGGGAATGTGTTTCTAATGTAAAAGTGTATAAATAAAGTTTCAAAAAGAAATAACTTGAGTGCAGCAGCATCGTTCATCTGCATCACCTGTTCGGCTGAATTCATTCAGCACCTGACCCGAGGAAACTTTCCCAATCTGAACACAAGCTAACAGCAAGAGGAAAGTTGGAGGCTGCAACTAGTCATAAGACAGCCAACATTAGTTAACAGGAAGTGTTTCAGAGACATGTCTGACAGGGAGCACTGCTACATCACAGGTCATTAGTAGGGATGTAAGAAAATATGCTATATTATATCAATATTCAAAAGCCATGTATCGAATTTTTGGAAGAATTTACATGCAAACATTTGTTCATTTCTTTTTCTTTTGTTGCAATTCAAATGCCGACCACTAAATGGCAGCAGTGTGCATTGGGGTTTTGTTTCCATCACTGAAATAAATCCCTTAACCTGGCAAGCCAGACTGAATGCAACGCTCTATTGTCGGTGGTGGGGCGGGTTCTACCGCTGTCTTCCAAACAATCCCTGCATGCTACTGGACAATGAACAGCGTGACATACTCACCACAACGGAATGTTGGTAAACGAGGAGGTCTGCAGTTGAAGAAGGCGAAAATACATATTTTTTTTCTAAATAAAGGACATAAATGCATCTATTTGCTCCTGATCCTAATAAAGCCAACGTCCAAACAGCCTAAATTGGGTGTAGATTCCGTTTCAAACTAGCTGTCACCATCTTGTTTCACTCTGTTGAATCATCCTGCCTACCATACGAATAGAGGGTCCTGATTGGCCCACAAAGCGGATAAATCGCTGCGATTGGTTCACAAAGCAAATAGAGCGCTATGATTGGCCCACCATTATGGACCAATCACAGCTCTCTATGTGTTTGAAACCCTTACAGAGAGCTGTGATTGGCCAGCCAGAATGCTGCTAGGGGCTGCAGAGGCTCCAATGGAGTGTTCCTAGACCAAACTTTGCAAAGCAAGAATTTGGTCTAGTTCACTAGGCTAGAAATCCCTCCATTATGGTTCAGATACCTCATGCCAAACATGTCACACATCAGTTTGGACTGTTTATTGAATTTTCCTACAATTATTTCAGTCTAAAAAAAATCACCAATATCGTCTGGCTGAATGTATCGCAATATATTGTGATATATCGTATCGTCTCCCCTGTTTCGTGATACGTATCACATCGCCAGAATATCACCAATACACATCCCTGTCAGTCAGTAAACAAATTACAGTGATCACTAGTGGGTCACTTTAATTAAAGCATCCAAGCACCAAATTTCCTTTGCAGACACGCTCACCCTCAGTCTTGGAGCTTCCCCAGGTGATGAAGGTTGCATCCAGCCCTTCAGCTCTCATTCCAGGACTACCTGGATCTCCTTCCACCTCTAAAACTGGTCGAGACTTCCTCAAAGACTTCCTGTAGGACTTTCTTGATCCCGACAACGCTGTACATAAAAAATATCAGAGAGAAATGTTTTAAAAGTCTCGGAGAAGAAACTCGGCGCTGGATGTAAGATGTGACCCAGCCTGTTGCCTGGGTTATTTGCCTGCCCTGAAAAAGATTATGATACTCCAAGCAGAAAGTTGCCCTTCTAACTTCAAATGCATCAGCCACTGATTTCAGCACCCACTCAGAGCAGCATCTTTACCTAGCCTCTCGCAGACCTTTAAGGCTCAAGTCTGATTTCCACATTTATGCCCACAGAACCTTTCTGTCACATAAAAGCTGTAGAGTCAGAACTCCTTGTCCTTATTCTTGCTTTAGGATTCCTCTTTTGCCTCTGCATAGATCTCTCCGTGAATTATTTAGCAGACACCTCTCTCCTCCTGGCCAGGTCGTAGAGAGCTGGGGTCTCATTTATCAAACATTGCGTAGAATCCTTACAAAAACCGTACTCAAGCTCAGCAAACAAAATGTACTTACGCCAAGTAGGTTTGTGATCTATCAAACATGGAGTACGCACAGCTGCACGCAATCTCCGCTTTATAAATCAGAAACAATCTAGAAAGTTTCTAAGCTGCATTTTAGTCACATCCCGCCTTCACCACGCCCACTTACTGCCATAAATGGTCGATGCAAAGTGCCTTGTGGATCTCATGCATATACATAAGCCGGCTTGTTGCAGCATTTCGATCCCGACCGCAGATCAAGGAAGTGCTATTTCACAAGCAGAAATTCAGGTACTTGTAGGTGAGGTGGAGAAATGAATGGAAGTGCTTTTGCAAAAAAAATAAGAGAAAATCCACAGAGTGACACAGCGTTGCTGAAGCCGTCAATGTTGTGAGTTCTTCAGAGAGATCTGTGGCGGATATAAAAAAAATGATCAGATAAAGATTCGATCCCCAGACTCCCGGGTGAAAGTCAAGTGCGCTAACCAGTCAGCAGGTAGCCAGGGCACATGATCAATTGGGTCACAGTGACAGGACACTCACACTGTCGCAGACGCATGACATTCTGTCTCAATCTGTCCCCCTGCTGATATTCTGCGCTTCTGTCTGTGTGTGTGTGTGTGTGTGTGTGTGTGTGTGTGTGTGTGTGTGTGTGTGTGTGTGTGTGTGTGCCTGTGTGCCTGTGTGCCTGTGTGCCTGTGTGCCTGTGGGGGGTCTTGTTCTGTGTGAAAACGAAGCGGTACAAGTGATAATGCTGCAGGATTTCATAATTTTATCCTTCTCAGCAGCAGCACTGCAGGTGCTCTCCATGTCCAACATGTGCGTAAGCCAGGTCCTTAGTCAACTTAAAGCTGCGCACATTTTTCCGCTAAGTTTTCTTTCATAAATCCCAAAGTTTGCGTGGAAAGTTGCTTACGCAGTTTTCCGACCCCGTTTTGTGCGTAAGCAAGCTTGATAAATGAGGCCCCTGGTGGATGGCTAAAGTGGCCAGTCTATGTTTATTTTCCGTTATTAAGTGAGATTTAAAGAGATCAGAAGGTAATTTTTTCTTTAAAGATTTTTTAATACACATAACTGAAAACGGAAATGTTCTTCTGTTGGTGTTAAATTAATAGGCATTGAAAGTTATTTCTCTAAATATCTTAGCTCATTTTTAATATAGCCTCTTTAACAATAAGCTATCAAAAATAATTGCTTTTATTTTCTGTGCAAATGTATGTAGCTTGCAAAGAAAAAAGTAAAAACAATAAAATAGAAATCATCTGTGCTCAGAAAGAAAATAAATTTCTAGCTTTAATCTGGGACCGGGACTGGGCCAGGACAGGAGCTTTTCCCTCCAGGTTGTCAGAACATGAGCTCGATGTAATTAGCAGTGCACATTACTATGTTAGTTTTTTTCTCCTGAATTTAAATAGTCAAAATCCATCAGCACAAGTGTATTTTAAAAAGAAATGACATTCACTGTTCCTTCTTTTTATCTTTCAGGACAAAACATCACTGCTCTAGAGAAGATCAGCCAGCTCCAGTGTGTGCAACCCCGGTGAAGACCTACAGGAAACGTTTAAACTGTCGTTACCATCCAAGATTACGTTACAAAGTACTGTGGTGAACTTTTGTTATTGACCAAATATGTATTTTCTGTACGTTATATAAACAACATCTAGAAAAATCCTACAAAGTCATTTCCTTTTATTTTTTTACATTCTGTCTCTCACAGTTGGGGTGTACCTATGATGAAATTTAGACATCTTTAGAACAATGGCTGCTGAATACTTTTTTCACCCCACTATAAATGACAGTTTAAAGGATGTTATAGCCGAGTCAGTAAAATACATACTGTTTATCGAACAACTGCCTGAAAAACAACAAAACACACAGTGCAATCAATAGTATTTTGGAGGTTTCTCCCCATCATTACCTTCTGTTGTTGCTCCACTGCTGTGATCGTCATCTTGCCACCATGACACCTTTGGCTTCTGGTTTGGTTTTTGGCTTTGAGCTTGAAGTGGTTTGTTAGAGCTTCCTAAATCCACGGACTCATCTGAAACAGACTGTCAGAAGCAAAGTCTTAAAGCAAAGAGATGTATTAGGGTGACTGTTTGGTGTGCTCTTGCCAGGAGCTCATAATACGGCCTTTAACCGGACTCCTGCCAAGACACCAACAAATAAGAACAACTGGAGGGAAATCTAGCCTCATTGGAGCTTTTTAACATTTTCAACAACAACCTGGTGACGCAGAGGATGCTGGAGGATCTGCTCCTCTGATAAGAAATACTACAGTGAAGAGGAAATATTTTAATTTGACTAAACTCGTACATATCTTTATAATAATTCATTTGTACTGTTGCATATTCCAGAACAGATACATCACAGGAGCATTTGCTGACATTAATCAAAAATGTTCAGCATGTTGATTTTTGTATTACCTCTCTGAGGAACTGCTCAAACTGTGCATCCAGATCTTCCTTGGTCAGTCTGTGAGCCATTGTGGAGATGCTCACCCCACCAGCCAAAGGCTAATAACACACCTGAAAAAGAATTACACACAATTTAATTTTGAATGAATACTAATCTCCGTTTAATACAATTTTCCTTTTCAATTCCTTATCATTGAAATGTACAGAATCACTAAATGTGACAAATCAAAAGAAGTTACGGCAAAAAAAAATGGCTGCGATGTCCTCAAACACCTGGAGAATATAAGGAACTAGCAAACATGGAACGAGACAAACAGAAACAACAGGTAGCAGAAAACCGATCAGACTGCGTAAGAGAAAACTCTGGGTCTAGAGTTGCACAGTATTTTTTTTAATTCAATTAAGTATACAGCGGTATAAAATGTCTCCATAGATGGGCTTGTGATGGTCTCCTATTATTTTTGGCACAACACTGGTAACTCTGAAGTTGCAAGTGGAATATCCTGGCCACTTGGGGCAATAGGGGCTGGATGGCCTTATTTAACCCTGTAAAGGAACATTTGAGCACATCCTGGCTTGAGAAAATGATTTAAAAATATGAAAAAGTTGTAAAGCATCCCTGTTTAGCTCCCATCTCAGAAGAATGTGATGTTTTGTTTGTGCTTCTGAGAATATGGAGGAGATTCACATGATGCGTTTGTTACCAACACGGACTTTACTCTCAACACAAATTATGAGCTGCAATACGCTGTTGGAAAATCATTATTGACAATAAATATTAATACTATAATTTTAGCAAAGTCACCATTAAAATTCGACCTATAAACCTAGGCAAGGCTTAAACTGCAGAGAAGTTTGTCCTGGGTCTGCAAGTAGAGGCTGAACATGACTTTTATCATGCTGGAACGTTGAACTGTGTTTCAGGGCAAGGCAGCTTTATCTATATAGCACTTTTCAAACACAGGGGCAATTCAATGTGCTTTACAATTGGCATGAAATGGCACGACAATAAACAAGAGAACACAAATTTATAATATACACAGATAAAATTATAGTTTGGAGATAAAAGGAAAAGACAGAATTAAGGTTAAGCAATTACATCACAGACTACAGTGGAGATGATGCAGCATAAGAAACAGTTCATTCAAAGGCTGATGAGTACATGAGAGTTTTAAGCTTTGATTTAAGCAACACTACAGTTGGGCAGATCTGAGGTCCTGGGGGAGCTGATTCCATATGTGAGCAGCATAGTAGCTAAAAGCATCTAAGGACTAAGGGGAACCTCACTTCAGTGGTTCTGCTCATATCTGTCAAACAGAGTTTTCAAGGTCCAGTTGGGTAATTGTTCCTCTGCATTCCTCCCACTCCCATGGGGAGTCCCGCAGGGATCTGTGCTTGGGCCTCTCCTGTTTTCAATTTACATCCTCCCCCTGGGTTTCATCCTGAGGAAATATGGCCTGGGCTATCATATTTATGCAGATGATTGCCAGATCTACCTGGCTTTGAAAAAACCAGACTCCATCTCTCTTCTGGACCAATGTTTGGCTGAAGTGAGGGTTTGGCTTGCCAATAATTTCCTTAAGCTAAATGATTCTAAGCCTGAGGCACTCCTGTTGACCCCTAACAAAACCACACAAGTATCTTCTGATTTGGCCACTCTCCCTTTTGACCTCAAGCAGTGTGTTACCAACCTTGGGGTGAAAATTGATACACAGTTTTCCATGGGCCCTCAGATTAACGCAGTGGTCAGATCGTGTTTTTAATCAGCTGCGCAGACTAGTCCGCTTAAAACCGATCCTGAAACGAGCACACCTGGAATCCGTAATCCATGCTTTTATCATCTCTCGACTGGATTATGCAAATTCCATTTTAATTGGTTTACCTGCCTCCGCTCTTAACAGGCTTCAAGTCGTACAGATCGCGGCAGCCAGGTTTTTAACAAACACTCCTAGGAGAGAACATATCACACCTGTACTGGCGCAGCTCCACTGGCTACCCGTAAACTTTAGGGTCAAGTTTAAAATCCTGACTTTTGTTTTCAAGGCCCTAAACGGTCTGGCACCGGATTACCTGTCGGATCTTGTCACTAGGTATGTGCCAAACCGGGCGTTGAGGTCTGCTGATTGCCTGCTGCTTCGTGTTCCATTAATGAAATACAAAACGCGGGGGCAGCGTGCTTTTGTCTATGCTGCTCCGACATTATGGAATGCACTTCCTCTTTCGGTGAGGCTGGCACCATCCCTCCTCCGATTCAAATCGCTGCTGAAGGCTCACTTTTACGACCAGGCATTTTTAAATCCCTGACTTTTATTATTTTATTATGTGTCTTTTTATTGACTGTAATTATCTGCCTTGTTGTGCATTTTATTGTTGACTGTGTATTGTTTTTTGTGTTTTTACTTTTTATTCTGTACAGCACTTTGGTCGGCTGCCATGCCGTTTTTAAATGTGCTTTATAAATAAAGATGGTATGGTATGGTATCTTCATCCTGTTTGGTTCTGACTTGAGGTTCTACCAGCTGATTATCTCAGAGCCCTACTGGGTGTATATACTGGGATGAGATCTGACATGTATTTTGGCCCCATGCCATTGAGTGATTTATAAACTAGTTGGAGCACTCCATTCATCCATTTTCAGCTGCTTATATGAAGTTGGGTTGTGGGGGCAGCAGCCTAAGCCGAGAGGCCCGACTTCCCTATCCCAGCTACTTCCAAGGGAATCCCAAGGCGTTCCCTGGCCAGCCGAGAGACATAGTCCCTCCAGCATGTCCTGGGTCTTCCCTTGGGTCTCCTCCCAGTTGGACGTGCCTGGAAAACCTCACCAGGGAGGCGTCCAGGAGGCATCCTGACCAGATGCCCGAGCCACCTCAACTGGCTCCTCTCGACATGGAGGAGCAGCGGGTCTACTCAGAGTCCCTCCCGGATGACCGAGCTTCTCACCCTCACCCTACCCAAAGCTCATGACCATAGTAGGAGCACTTTAAAATCTATTCTGTGGTTTACTGGTAACCAGTGTAGAGATCTAAGAACAGGAGTGATGTGCTCCCTTCTCTTAGTTCTTGTTAGGACTCTAGCAGCAGCATTCTGAACAAGCTGCAGTTGCAGCTTTTTTGGGAAGACCAGTTAGGAGACCATGGCAATAGACCAGTCGGCTAGAAATAAAAGCATGAATGAGTTTCTCTAAGTCTGGTCTGGCCACGAGACCTCTGACTCTTGATATTTGATGAAGGTGATAAATGCTGATTTAGTTATAGCCTTAATATGTCCAGAGAAGCTCAGGTCTGAGACAACAACACCTAGATTTCTACTGGTTCTACTGGAATCAACTGGATATGTCTGACATTTTCATTTGACCGTGTTAAAATTCCAGGACTGCCAACTCTCACGCACTGAGTGTGAGACACACGCATTTGATCCTCTTCACACGCTCTCACGCCACACCTCCAATATCTCACGCTAAACCAGCGCCTGCGCTCCCCCAATGTGCATCACGCACAGTGTGTAGGGCTTATGAAAAAAAAAGATGATATTAATTATGGCATTAGCTACTGAACAACATGCACGCAAACAACACTCAAGTAATAATTTAACTGGCGTTATTTCACACACAGAATCCCATCTGTATAATCCAAGTCGATGTGCTTCTTTCCATTCTGGTTGTGAGATGGGCGGAGCGGTGAGCTCCACCTGCTGCTGATGGGACGGGCATGCCCGGTTCTTTCTCCCAGAGCCATGAGCTGCAACTGCGCACGCCGCCAAAATGACACGCTTTATTTAGAAATGCCGCCGCATCGCCAGTCCCGAATGTTTTTCTTTTGTTTACACTCATCAGCCACAGATCGCTCGCTCACAGCAAGCTGGGCTGTCTACTGTGGTGACTCACTCACATGTTCCCTATCCTACATTAGTTGGTGATGCGGTGAATTAAAACATTAAGATTCCTAATGTTTTAATTTACTGCTTCACCAGTGTTTTTCCTGTTTGTGAGATGAACCCCTCCTCCTCCATAACCAGGTTACTGGTACGGAAACCTGAAAAGGCCAAAATTCCTCAAGCGTTTTTTCCCCCTACTGGCTGATATGAATTAATATAATAGAATAGAGTAAATTTTATTAGTCCCACAGAGGGGACATTAACTCACAGCAGCACACACACTTAGAGAAATAGATTACAGGTAAAACTGATTCCAGCCATGTTTGCTTTGATAACTTCATGCTAATGACCCACATGAACATAATCCTCTGTTTAGTGGATGCAAATACATCATGACATTAGCTTAACATGATGGCAGGAAATAATAACTGGTAAAATATGAATGGCATGATATTGCCCACCCCTAGATGGAATTAAAACATTTTACATTAATTATAATTAAAAGTTCTTGTGTGACATTTGTGACATGTAGCTGTAACGCTTTACTCAGGAGAGTTGGTATTAAATTTTCCTCACGAAAATAACATTTTTATTAAACAAAGGTCAGTCCCTCTGTAAAGTCAGATATACGGAAGAGGATTAGGGTCACGGAAAAGAAAAAAAACAAAAAAACAGAATTCTGACTTTTTCCCCAGAATTCCCTGTCAGAATTCCGAGATTAAAAGTCAGAATTCTGAGAAGAAAAAAAATTTTTTGAGAAAAAGAAGTTAGAATTCCTTCTTTTCTTTTTTTCCTGTGGCTCTAATCCTTTCCCGTATGGAGTACAAATAAATAAACAAAATGTAGAGCACAAAAAGTCTCAATAATAATATTTTGACTGTGTCACAGGTTTCGTCAAGCCCAGACAATTCCACAAAAGGGAAGAGAGGTGGAGCTGAGGGTGGGGCTGTAAGGCTGGGATCAACTGACGACACCCGGTCGAACTAGCTACAAGCTAACCTGAAGCTAACCCAAAGCTAACGTGGAGGTGGGAGCTAAGCTAACAGAGGTAGCAACCTAGCTACAACCGGAGTTAACTGTGCACAACACCAGAGCTTCTGAGTCAGAGATACGCCAGGCTGACTGCTGGGTAAAACCGGGTGGAACCCAGAGGTCTCCCAAGACCTCCACAAGCCAGCAGCCGCACAGCAGACAAGCACCGCTGCAATCTGAGATGCGCAGAGCTGCCGCTGGGGAGAACCGGGTGGAAAGGTTTCCATCCCAGAGCTCCCCAAGCCGGCAGCCCGCGCAGCAGACAGGAGCCGCGGTCAGACAGAGATGCGCCGAGCTGTGCGGAGGGGAGAACTGGGTGGGAAACATCGGTCTCCCGAGAGCTCCACAAGCCGATAGTCGGAACCCAGCTCCACCAACATGTTATATTTCAACCCATTTTCTAAAGTGCAGCATTATGTTAAATGCACTGGGTTTTAACCTATTACATTTAAATTTCATGGTTAAACAGTACATTTTAAAATCTAAGCTCAGCTCGGCAGTGACCTAAAATACATGAATATAATTTTACTTACCGAAAAAAATGAAGTGGAGACTCCTTGGACGCTCTATTAGTGCAATTAATGCCACAGCAAGTCATTTTGTCCAACAACTGCGCAAATAATATCCAAAAAAGAATACACAAATGCTACAACTAATGGTCTAAGTTGAGAGACTGAAAATGACCGAACAGTTTTAAAGCGAGGCCGAGGCTCTACTGAGGCCTTTCCCCGGAGCTAGCTCTGTGGTCACGTGGGTCTGATGCTCATTAATTATACAGAATTTTAGGCTTTTAATACACTTAAACAGAAGAGTGAGAAAAAAGTTCACCCCCCTCAGAGTTGTCATGAGTGTAAACTAGATCATTAAACAAAAAAACATTTTTTGGAACCAGGCTGTAAACATGTTTATTTCTGCTGTGAAATTGGTATTTTTAACATGGGAGTCAATGAGGATTTGCTTGCTTCTGACACCAGTCCCCAGCGGATGAGGGTGGAACTGCAATTTATTTCACTTCCGCGTTTGCTTCAATTTTTTACCCGCATTGTGGGGGCTTGGTTTTTACCTGTAGAATGAAATGTGGGTTTTGAGAGTTTTGATTTCAAACATGTGCACTGATTTTTTTTTTTTTGGAAGTCTGCTAGGTAAAAACCAAAAGTTTCATGTTTCTGAATGAATGTTTGATGTTACAAAATGAGTAGTAAGTGTACAAAATAAAAGTTTGATTTTACAAAATAAAAAATACATGTACAAAATGAAAATTTCCTGTTACAAAACAAGAATTACAAGTACAAATTGAGAATTACAAGTTAGAAAACTAAAGTTACACGTTACGAATCCAAAGTTACATGTCATGAAACATGTTCCAAGTTACAAAACATGGTACAAGTTACATTGAATAATGTCCCAATCCTAGCTCCATACATGACCTCGTCTCACTCTTTGAAATGTTCTAAAGTTGGCAGCCCTGAAATTCAGCAGAGACAGATAAAACCTGTGCATAAAGTTCGTTTGTCATCTTGTCATCAATTGTTTGTACAAGAAAACTGTCAATATTGAAACATGTAACGCCGTGTTTTCAGTGGTTCTGCAGACGTTGATGCAGCTAACGCGCGAATCAAGTACAAGCTAGTCTCCTTAACTTCTCCCAGTGTGTGTGTTTGTGTGTGTGTGAAGAAATGTGCTGTACATGTAACATGGAGTTGGCGTACATGTGTCCGTGTTGTGTTGATATAACTCACTCAATACTCTCCGCTCTGACAGCTGCTCCAGAAAAACACTTCTTGAATCATCCTTTCTTTGCTGTTTTGAATGGCGAGCACAGTGGTCTGGTAGTTCCGGGGACGCCAGTAAGGCTCTTCTGATTGGCCAGATCTATATAGATATCGCTTTCTACAGCTCTGTGATTGGCTATTAAAAAGTTACGACATCGAAAGTCAAAAAGAGGTCCGCCATATTGGAGAGGTCGTTAACAAAACAAGAGTGTTGAAACTGATTCATATTTATGATTGTTTTGGGATTTTGACTTTTATTCTTTATGAGATTTTCTTTTGTATATATGTTCAACTGGTTAATATTAAAAAAATTAACAGGGTATTCTGAATAAATTATAAATCAATATAACAAATAAATGTATATTACAATATAAATTACTCAAAAATTATTTTACAATTTTTTATCAGATATATTTGTTATGACCAGAACTGGTCAATTTCCACCTACATATTAACCTAGATGCCACTGGTCATCTGCAGTCTTAATTCTATCCCCTAAAGTGGATTTTAAACTCAATCTTCCTGAAGCCAGAAGGATACTGCATTCCATCAGCTGGAGTTCAGAGCCTCTCTGCAGCTCTGAACACATGATAATGTATTGTCAACATCATGCCCTTCCTCAAGGCCTTAAGCTGGCCTTATCTATTCGTCTGCTTCACAGGACAAAAGATGAACTTCCACAACTAATAAGTTAAATAATCATTAACTAAACATTTGTTTATTGCCACTTATAATAATTATAATATAAATGACATGCTTTCATTAATTTGTGCTTAAATTAATAAGGTTGATTAATCTGTGTTTGAATGACTGAAGTTTGAAAGGACTTATGTATATGATGAAATGAATGTTGGATATGACAAGGTTCATTAGATAAATTAAAGTTAAGTTAAATGTCATGACACAAAGATATTTTCTTACCCCCACAAATCAGAACCTCTGCATCTGAAAGAAGATGTGTTTCTGAGATTCTTGGCAATATCCCTTAACATGACACGCTCTGATTTGTTAAGAAATTAATATGACAATATAAAAACAGAGCTCGTTTTACGGTGACTCAGTTCTAGAAAAAGCTTCGGACAGGTCATCCATAGTGAAATATCTTTAATTCTAAGCAATTTTGGCAAGCTGCCAAAACCCTGCTAAAAGCTGTGTACAGCTGACACAGCAAAACGGTTCTTTCAGAACCAAGCCGAGACAACTTCAACTCCTTAAGAGTTATTCCTGAGACGCAAACTAATTCCAACCTGTGTGCCTGGTGACATTTCTGGACTGGGGATATCAGTACAGAGGTAAATCTACTGGACCTGGGTGCCCGGAGGTCATCTGACCTCCCTGACCACTGGATCTGCGATGAGGGTCTCCAAAAGGGTGAGGTAGAACACAGTGAGATTGCGTCTGATGTGTCTTTGATAAGAACTTCACAGTTCATGCAAACCAAATTCTTTTCACCCAGAACTCAAGTTCTTCTAGATATGAAGGTTCTGATAATCTCATCCACACATAGTCACCATTCATCACATCCTCTCCACCTAGAATCATCCATCACAGAAGCCTTGGTTAACTTGTCATGTTTTTAATTGTTTGGAAAATAAATTCTTACTTTTTATAAACTTGACTCTCTTCTTGAAGTAACATGAAGTGTGTTTGATCACTGAAAAGGCAAAGAACCCTAATCTTCTGATTAAACATTCAAAGACCAAGCAGGTTGATATTCTATATTTATATAGAATATTATATCTTCCTGGTCATAAGTAAAGGTAATATAATAAGCTTAAAAGCAACACATTTACCATCTCTACACAACGCTACACATTTATTTCTACATTTGTTTGTTTCCTTTATTATGAAAATCTTTCCATTTGCAATATGGCTGAAACTTTGACGTATTGCTTCGGCAGAGAAACAGCATGAAGACATTTTTTAAGAACCTTTATTGACAAAAAAAATGTACATTTATGCAAAGCAATAGGAACAGCTAACATAAAGCAAAACATTGCAAGGATTGTCTTATAGACTTACGGCTTTAGAAATCAAACATCACACACACACATTCTTTAAAGATACTTCTTCATACATTTTCATAGCAGATCAGCTTCAGTGATCTATATCTTACAGAATATTTTCATGTATGTATGTTTCTGTGGTTATGTGTGTGAGTCTAAGCTGTGTTTGTGTGAATCGTTGTGTGTTTGTGGGTGTCTGTAAGTGGATTTGTCACCAAGAGTGTTGTTTTGCTTTTGTTTTTTAATGCTGTGTATGTGATGAGAGAGAGGCTGCCCCACAGAAGCCCAGGTCCAACCAACGCCAAAATCTGGGGCCCAAGCATACCCCAGCAGCCAACAGCCACCAAAGGATGGACACCAATCGGGCAGCCAAGAGGACAGACCCGAGCCCAGCCAGGAAGGGGAGCCAGCCAGAGGGCATCAGAGCACCAGCCAAAGGGAGAACATTTGGGTCCGCCAAGGCTGGAACCCTCATCCCAGCAGACTGGCGCCCCAACCCATACAGGCCAAAAGATTTGATTCGTTCGTGAACGTCACATCACTAATTCAGACCTGCAGGAAGAGAAAGACTTAATTACTTTCAAAAAGTAAGATGCCCAAAACTGCTAATATGCATTAAAATTGGGGGAAACATTCAAGATGGGGAGATCCAACTAATTGCAGATAGTAGAACCCCCATCCTCTAGAAACAGCTCTGTTTGGAGTGTTTTATATCCAGTGTCTAACAGATTTCCATCCACGCTCTACAATTAACCAGCCAATATGTGGAAAACAAAGTTTTTCATGAGCACAGCTTGTTGTGATTGAAATTAAATTATTAAGAACTTTATTTCGTTTTTATCCTGGTTCAAATGAAGTTTCACAGCAAGTCAGAGGTCTCTGACTGCAGCCGTCTGGGGGTACCTCAAAGGGGTAGAACCAAACCCTCTACCTTCAGGGCAGGCAGAACTTCACAGCTGGCGCATGCGCAGTTCATGCATCACGAACTGAAGCAATTAGTCCTAATTACTCTCTCCTTTTTAACCGAATCGTAAAGTTCACTGAGATGATTTTAGTTTCCTTTGTTAGAAAAGTTCTGAAGTTCCTGATCCCCCATGAAGACAGGAACATCTGGGGAACTCCTGATATCCAGAAGGTCCAATCAGCGCTGCAGCATCAGCAGGTGTGATGATGAGCTGAAGTTACCCGCACCAGACTCTTGTCGCTGCTGGGCTCCAGCTCTTTCTGCTTTTGTTCCTCCTGCTGCTGGATCATGGTAGCCTTTGTCGGTCTTCTCTGGATCTTATTCCATGGCACACGAGGAAGTCCGGTTCTCCGGTGGGACCCGGTGGAGCCTGTGAGGCCGACAGAGGACGGAGCTTCCGGCTCAGATTTTTACCGCCTCCCGGTCTTTCTGCACGCACCACGACCTCTGGTACCTCCGGACCTGTTCCGACCCGCTCCTGTTAAAGAGCCTCTTCCTGCAGGTCTGAACGCTCTCCTGGTGCCGCCAACGAGACCAGACCATAACGTCCCGGGCAGGGGCGCACGCGCCGTGGAAGCCTGGTGCGGGACGGAGACTGTTTCTGTGCGCGTGGACCGGATTCTACTTCGTTCTTGGACCGCTCCGGACAGGTTCAGACTGGGTTCATGTGAAGCCAACTCCGTCTCCTCGCGGTACCTGTTTTTCTACTATGGGCTGAAGGAGTGTGGAGGAACCCTTCAGGTCAGAAATACTAACCGTAACCTCTCTTTAGGTCCAGCTAGTCCAGTTTCCTGCAGTAGTGCCAGCCAGGGATGGTCTTGGTGCAGAGGCACTCTCAAAAGAGCATAAGACAGTATAGTACAGGGGCGTCAGTCGCATGTTAAGTGAGGGGGCACAATGGAGGGGCTTTGGGTATTGATGCCGTTTCCGGCATTTTAACATTTTGTTAACTTAAAATTGTATAATTAATTTTCAGTTAACAATTAAATAAGCGAGCTTTAAAAATAAAAAAGATTAATTAAATTACATCAACATTAAATGGCACAAAATTTAATGTTTGGCTGAGTTTTTATTTAGTTGAACTTGGTGTCTTCTCATTATCTGAATGTCAGAAATTCTTAAAGGCCCCATGTGTGAAATCCATTGAAATCATGATGAAAAAATGCGACTCTTTAGGGCCGTGCAGTTCAGAGAAAGTATTGCAGCTACAATGGCTCACTCATGAGTTTGACTGTATAATCAATTTCCAACCTGTGTAGCCTAACCCACACAAAACTTAAAACTAGCTTCTCGACCTCTTTAAAAAAGCATTTATAATTATGACCGTTTTATCAACCTACCAGTTCTGAAGGAAGCAAGCTAGTTCTGTTAGATCTTGAAGCTGTAACGATTCACACACGGAGGAGGGGTGACGTCAGCCAGGAGTTCAGGTGTTGTGAGAAATTGTGTTCCCCTGAAATATTCTGTCCCCCGTGTCGGGAGATCGCACTTCTGGATATTTTCACAACATTTGTGATCAACTTTTATGGGAAAATGATGTAATGTAACCTAATAATGTTATGCTTGTGAATTTTTTTTTATCTATTTCCTCCTAAAAACAAAAAAGATATAGTAAAAACATTCTTGTTCACTTTTGCAGCAAGCTTATTTATAATTATTGAAAGTTATGTAAAAGGATGTAATCTCACTCAGTTTAACCATCTTTTATTTGAGGTTGTTTAGTCCTCATAATGGAAAATAAGTTCTGTGAATTTGGAAATATTTGCTCTTGCCTGCCTAAGGAAACAGAATGTTTCAGGGTAACATAATTTCCCACAACACCCATTTCACATGGGTCACGTGCCTCGATGTAAACAAACTGGCTGCTGCTATACCAGCTTATATGGATATGGAGCGATCACTGGCTGATCGTTAGCCACGGTTGGTGAAGGAGGCTTGGTGAGCCGGGGGCACGTTGTGGACATCAAGTAAACAATATTAACTTAGCCACCAGCTAATCGTGGCTCACGATTAGCTGGTGGCTTGGTGGAGATGGGTTTCACGAGCTACTAGTTAGCCATGGCTAGAACCGAGGGACACGCTGCTGTGCGGAAACTCCCACGAATTACCAGCAAAAGAAGACTCAAACCTAAAGGTAATGTTTGAGAAGAAGCCCTCTGTGTCAGAGCGTCTCTGTAACACGTGGAGAACTACATCGCTGTTAGTAAAGTGTTGTGGAGATAAGCAACGCTGATTTAGCCACAGGCTAGTGGACGAGCGGTGGAGCGTGTTGGGAGAGACGGCAGGCTGCAGGAAGAGAGGAGACTTGAGTAGAAGGACTTTGGAACAGACACATTGGGACCGGGTCGGGAGTTCTGGTACGGACACGTTGGGACCGGGTCGGGAGTTCTGGTACTAGGAAAAGACTGATGAACAACTTGAGGTGAGTTTGGGAGTCAGAGACACTAATAGGAGGCTGGTGTCCAGACAATAGTGGCGGCGGTCTGAACATATGCAGCTTCCTTGTGTTGGACACGATGACGAACTGACACATTTTATGTGTCTTTTGATTTCATTGTTTTTTTTTTTATTCAAACTAACAAGTACAGCAATGGTGTACTTATTCTTTTCTATTACTTCGTTGAATTAGCAGACTCCATGCATCCAGGGCACACTGCTGCCCTCTGCTGGGTCTTTCAGGTTACAGTCATAGTCCAAAGGGGTAACGTGGAGCTCGTATGTCCCTAAACAGCTACTGTATTTTAAAATGGTGGATGACCATGGAGCATCGACCAGTTTGTGAACTGGAAACACAGGATTTGATAGTAAACTGGTAAAAAAAAAGTCACACTGGGGCTTTAAACTACTAAAAATACCAGACTTAAATGAAATTCTGGAAAATAGAATGCTGTTAAAACATAATAATATATATAAAGAATATATATAAATAAAGAGCAACTTGTGGCTCCAGGGCCACACGTTGCAGATCCCTGAAAAAAGGAACTGTGAGATGGCATAAAACATTTTGCTGCTTGTTTGTCAGAGAACTTGAGAAAGTTGAATTTAAATGAAATATATGGTATATAGAAAATATTTTAAGGCTGTCAAAGTTAAACATGTTCCCTTTATCTAGTACTGATCCATAACTGGCAACAGTTGCCCTGAGCTGACTCGTTTGTTTTTGATACATGGACGGCAGTTGCCAAATGTAACCACAGGATTTCATTGTTACTTTATGCACCTTTAAATAGAATTATTTTGTTTTTCAGGTTGTTGGTGGTGAGCTGGTGTATACGTATGTACTGAGCTACACTCCGCCCCCACAAGGTTATGTTATCAGAGTTTTCCCGGTTAAACTTCCTATCCACTGCCGTTATAACAGGTAATCATTTCTACCACTGACATGTGAACGAATCAGTAAACCCACTTGTGAACAGCAGTTTAACCATGACTGTCCAGGTTAGAACTAACATTGACAGGATGCACCAGAATGTGTTTCTCTGCAGCTGTATGATGCTGCTACAAAGTTCAGCACTAAAATAATCAGTAAACTCATTTAGCATTTTAAAGTTTGTGTTGATTGAATGGTCACATGTTTCTCTTATGAGCAGTCACAACCCTCAGCCATGTTGGAGCAGTGAAAAGACAAAAAATGCTGGTTAGTGGCCCTTCCTGCTGGCAGTCGGAGATGGGCCAAGGCCTAGTGGTAGCTCCTGAAGCCTGGCCTGGTCATTATACTGGGCAGTGGTGGCTTGTCCACAGGGGGCGCTGGGGCGCCGCCCCACCAATCTCACAAGAAGATAGGAATCACAAAATAATTTAAATTAACTAAACAATCTATACATTATACAGACTAAGTGCTGTGTATAATCTGCATTTAAATGTAATTTAAAAATGTTATTTCACACTTTTATCTCTATCGAATCATCTTGTGACATGTTTCATGTTCCTCTTCGGGGCAGCAATCATTACCATAACCTACGCTATAACTGAGGCATGCACACTAGATCCCCCTCCAGTACAAAGAATAGGAGAGCCTTTGGGTGCAGAGGTTTGAGATCAGAGCATGCACAGAAGTCCGGCCCTTTCGTATGAATCAGTCACAGGAAGAAAAACACTGTTAACCGGAAAATGATGGAATGTGGCGTTGGAGATCTGTAAACACGTGGTAGCAGGTGAAAAAAGACAGTCAGGAATCAGCTCAGTATGACGTTGGGACATTGGGTTACACAAACCGAGTGGATATTTGTACTATAACATAGATTATTATGACCATAAACCAGCAAAGGTATGACAGAATTTACGCTTTTGATTTCATGAAATGAGCTTCATTTTGCTGCTGCATTGCTCCGTGAGTTTTACATGTAGAGTAATGGTGCTTATATTGCTGCAAAGAAGAGTCTGGGTTTTAATTTAAGCAGCTGCTTATGTGGATAGGATCGCATTACACCATTGCTACTGTGTTTTTCCTTGTGTATTTAGCATCTTTTTATGGCCTTTTCATTTAGCAGCTTATTGTTGGCATTGGGTGTTGTTGGGGTAGAAAATGTTGATTCTGTCCTTTGGACGAGCCTCTTAAGTATGTGTGCAGTTTGCATACAGTGCTCAGCATAAATGAGTACACCCCACCACATTTGTCAGAAAACCTTTAGTTTCCTTTCAGAATCAGCATTTTTTATGAGATACCATACTACGCAAGACTCTCACAAATGTGAACCATTGATTTGCAAACAAGATTTCTTTCTTTGCACTCAAAGTGATAAATAAATGACCCGCACTTGTATAGCACCTCTCAGAGTAAGGACTCCAAAGCGCTTTACACTTCAGTGTATCATTCATCCATTCACACACACATTCACACACTGATGGTGATGAGCTACGATGTAGCCACAGCTGCCCTGGGGTGCACTAACAGAGGCAAGGCTGCTGAGCACAGGCGCCACAAGTCCCTCTGACCACCACCAGCAGGCAACGTGGGTTAAGTGTCTTGCCCAAGGACACAACAGCAGAATTCTCTGTTCGGAGCCGGGATCGAAGCTGCAACCTTCCTATTACTGGACAACCCGCTCAACCTGTTGAGCTACTGCTGCCCCAAAGTGATTTTCCTAAAAAATCCTTTCAAGCCCATGTTGCAAAAATGAGTACACCCTAATTATATTCTTAGGAGAAAAGCCACACTTAAGACTACAAAATTCTAATCAACACCACAGGTGAGTCTAATGATTAAATTAAGAGGTGTCCAGCAGACAGGTGACAAAAAATGGCATTACTTAACAAAGAAAAGCCCTTTCCATTTCATGCTGTCAGCAATGGCTTCACATGGAAGAGAAGTGTTACAAAATCTGAGAAAAGAAATAATTTCGTTATACAAAAAGGTGAGGTCTATGAGATCAGCAAAGCTTTACATATCAGTCACAATACTGTAGCAAAAGTGATCCAAAAATTTCTAAAAGATAAAAGTGCAACCATCTTACAGAAACGTCCAAGCCGTCCACGGAAGTTAACATCAACAGGAGCGTCTTGTGATAAGAAGGGTTGAAGGACATCACCATGCAGGTTCACTGCAGTTAGCTAAAGCAGCAGAAACCCAAACTGGAGGGACCATTTCCCGTGACACTATACGGCACACACTGCAGAGAAATGGCATGCATGGGTATTGTCCACAAAGGAACCCTTTCCTAAAGCCCATGCACAAAAAAGCACACCTAGGATTTGCTAGGGCCCGTGCTAAAAGATATGAAGACTGCTGGGACTCTATTCTCTGGAGTGATGAAACAAAGATTTCTGTTTTTGGAACTAATCATTTCAAAACTGCTTGGCGTCGTGAAGGTGAGGATTTCAAAGTGAAATGCATGGTGCCTACAGTGAAGCATGATGGTGGCGGTGTTCTTTTGTGGAGCTGCATGAGTGCTGCTGGTGTTGGGGAGTTGCGTTTCATTGATGGTGTCATGAACTCAACAATGTACTGCTCTATACTGAAGGAGAAGATGCTGCCATCACTCCATGCACTTGGTCAACGTGCACTTTTCCAACAAAACAATGATCCAAAACACATCTAAAGCTACTGTTGCATTTCTGAAGAACAGGGTGAAGGTGATTGAACGGTGAAGTATGTCTCCTGATCTGAACCCAATCCAACACCTGTGGGAATTCTGAAGCAGCAAGTTGAGCGTCACTCACTATCCAGCATCCAGGCTCTAAAAGACGTTCTTCTTGAAGAATGGAAAAAGACAGATGTTGCAAAATGTTGCCAACTTGTTCACTCCGTGTCTAGAAGACTTGGTGCTGTCTTTGAAAATCATGGTGGTCATACAAAACACTAGATGTAGTTGTTTTTGCTGTTGGGTGTATTCATTTTTGCTTCAATCAGTTTTAGTAAAACTTAAGATTTCATGATCTAAGTTATATTATTAACCTTAGTTTCATGTTATGGAGTTAAACAAGTGTTCAATAAAACCCAGCCTTGTGAACATTCTGGAAATTGTTCTTTTGTTCATTGAACTACTGATTAAATTTGTACTTTTTGAAGGAGGTGCACTCATTTATGCTGAGCACTGTACAGGGTGGACCATTTATATAGATACACCTTAATAAAATGGGACTGGTTGCTGATATTAACATCCTGTTTGTGGCACACCATTTTTTTCCCAATAAGTTTGTGTCACATGACCCTCCCCATTGAAAAAACAAAAGTTGGATCGAAGATGGCCGACTTCAAAATGGCCATCATGGTCACCACTCATCTTGAAAAGTTTGCCCCCTCACATATACTAATGTGCCACAAACAGGATGTTAATATCACCAACCATTCCCACTTTATTAAAGTGTATCTATATAAATGGCCCACCCTGTATGTTGGTGAATATTAAGCATGTTTTTGAAACAACTTTGTTGCCGGAAATGCTCGTGGACCTGGTTCAGAGTTGTAGGGTTCAAGTTGTTTGATGCATAAGAATGGTAATTTTGCATCCCCTAGTGGTGATATGTGGTTGCACCCCACCAATAACAAAAATTCACCAGCCACCACTGATGCTGGGTCCTGGCCTGGAAATTGTAGATGGGCTTATGGGAGTGATTTGGATTTTAGCCTGGGTATGGTAGCTAGGCTGGGTCATTGTGCTTGGTTTTTGACCGAACATGGACTGCTAACACAACTGGGCTTTGATTCGCAGAGAAACTGAAAGATGCTGCTCTCAGTGCCAAGTCAATGTCTAATCACTGGTGTATGGTGGAGAGAATCCTGAAATTGTCAGTTGGGTAGGAGCTGGTCTAAGAAGGATGTTTAGATGTGCTCAGAAAATGGCAATCAGCAGCTTCCTCATTTTAGAGGGTATTTACACTAGCAGAACTAGAACCAAGGACCCAGCCAATCTAGCCCAGGAATTATTCACCCAACTTCTTTTCTGAGGCTGTGAGACTCATCACTGTTGACCCTTTAGCTGACTTAAGCACTTGGCTTACTACACAGTTTCATTAAGTCTGTACCTTGAGTAGTTTTATTCTTTCATGTTTCTACCAATGATTCTGAATGAAAAGCTCTAAGTGCGTTTACATGCACATCAGAAAACTGAACTATTGCCCTAAACAGACTGACATTTTTTAAATCTTAACACATTAATCTTGCTGAAGGTGAACTGGTTCTAATTGTGCTGAAGCACCCAGATAATGTGGTAGGAAACTGACTGCATCTGCATGTAAAATGCTTAGTTGAGTTAATACAAGTAACTTCCAGACGTGACGAGACCATGGAAGCGGTCTTCTGGCGTTTGTTTACTATTTGTGTTGCTATTAGCTAATTGGAAGAATGTCAACACGAGCAAATTTCGCCACCTACTGTACCAGAGTGGAACGAACTTCACTTGAGTTTGGTTTTCAAACAGATATTACAGTATATTACTTTAGATCGACTTAGATGTGCATATAAACTCACTAGGTGGCATTTTCTATTAATGTTTTATTTATGAACGAATGCAAGAACTTGTTTCTGTTCCAGGTTTCATTACTCTTATAAGATTGGCTTCAGACCACAAGTTCAACATAAAACATTTCTGAAGGGTATCAAGAGTAAACTAACTTTCAGCCTCTCCATCTGTAATGGTACGTGCCGAGTTAGTTTTAAGTTTTAATATGTGATTGTTTATTGGTTTAACCATTACTTGAGATATTCTAACAGGCTTTTCACCAAAGGCTACAACAGAAGTGTTTCCATAATGATTCTTATAAAAATGTGTTTTTAATGACTATATAATTTAGATATTGACATTAAGCTCTTCTTGTATAATGTAGATGACATTATAGAAGTATTTAATATATTAACATGGTTGCATGTGTTCACTAGCGGACTGGAAGCCCATCCCCTCAGGCCATACGTTCCTTTTAGGAGAACCGTTGTATTTCGTGGCTCAGGTGAGAACCCTGATGGCTGGGGAGAGGCTGTATGTGGACTCATGCTATGCAACAAGCTCAGAGGATCCAGGCAGCTTACCCAAAGTTGATATTATCAGCAACTATGGGTAAGTGTGAACAGATCGGTTTGTTTCTGTGTGCTTTTTACGTGTCTGATTGGTTTGAATGTTCTGATTGTAGCTGCATGACGGACAGCTGGAGGGAAGGCAGCAGCTCTCGCTTCTTGTCAGGAAAGAGCAGTGTGGTAAAGTTTTCTGTGGATACCTTCTTGTTCAGGGAAGTTTCACAAGTAAGGATGGAAAACATTACACACAATTATGTCTGTTTTCTTAAGGGCATAAGAACAGATGGGGTTAAGATGTGAAAAACTCTTCCTTTATAAAGGATTTCTTTCTGAAGATGACTGACATTTTCCTGCTTTGCTAGAAAACTGCTGTGACTTCACACTTTTTTCTTTGTGGGTTGCTGGTTGAGGTGAGAACAGTAAATTAGGTCATCCCAACCATCCATTCCCTGAATGCCTGTCCCCCATTGCCTGCGTTCTTCACGGGGAAACAAAGAAAACTTCATTCATAGCGAGTTCAAGGCATTGGTTGTTAAAGTAGCAGAGAAACTAACAAGTTGGAGAGGTTAACACGGTCAGGACAGAGGAGAGGACTGATTCGACATGAAACAGAATTTAAAAAAGAAAACGGCCTGGATGTTCCATTCCGTTGTCATTTACAGTTTACATCTAAGGAGTTGTATGCATGTTCTGTTTGGAGTTAGTTTTGTTCTTGATTGGAAATCTTTGTTTTCTGAGAGTTCTGCCTCTAAGCTGTCATTCAGTCTGGTTACCTTGACAATGCTCATATAGTCGGGGAGCAGAGGATGGAACATAAACTGGAATCCAATTCATGCGGTTTATCTGTCACTCCACAAAGAGTTCCAAATCACAGCATAGCTCCAGAAGGATCTCCTTCAGGGAGATCATTTCGCTCACGGAGGATGTGCTGACTCCAGAGTACACGCTCTGCCAAATCCTCTAATAACACAAGATTCTCGTCGGTCTTAGGTGTCGTTATAGGTTCTAACACCAGTTATGTGATAAAGCTGTTTTCCACCTAAATTATAATTTATGGGTAAAATAACTGACTTGTGGATTAGGAACATGTGTGGACAACTGAGATCTTCAGTATTGTGGTTCACCCATTCTACTGGATGCTGTTTCGTACGCATGGTCTGAGGTTTTGTTATATTTAGGTACATTTCCACACACAAGTACAAAATAGTGATTACCACACAATGTGTAAATGAATCCCTTCGCTTGAAGCACGCACAGATCTGTGCGTAAGAATGGTTGATAAATGAGGGCCCTGGAGTGGAAAATTATGTGTTTGTTGCAGCTATTCATTTGAGGATGTAGAAGGTAAATGATTGGATTCATGATGACCAGGATTCTGCTGTTTGGACAGGGCAGCTTTCTGGTGCATTACAACCAAACCCAAACCAAAAAAATGATCTGAAATTGTGCCCCACATGTCGGCCTTTGAAAGCTGTTCATCCAAAACCTCGTTGATCTTTATGTAGACAGATGCTCCACCTCTCCCTCCCTGTTTCCTCACATGGGACCTTGGGACTACTTGGATCAGCTTGTGGAAGGTCGTGTTTTTGCATCTGAATGATGGACATAGCAGCTGAACTGAGAGAAAGTTCATGGACTCACATACACTGATGCACACAAGCATGCACACATGCACATGAAAGACAGGCCTACACTCCCAGGTTTTCAACGTACTCGCACTACTCTGAGACTCTCCTCCCAATTCCTGGGCAGCGGAAGGTTGAAAGCCACTCTGATGTGTAGATGGGGGTTTCGACCCTTCTCGTGTTTGATTATGTTGTGACTGTTATGTCTGGGGTGTTTTTTTTTCTGCAAGCCATCTTTGTTCCCCATTGTCATTTCTCTGCATATTGGGAGTGCCATAATGGTTGCATGCCCACAGTAAATTGTTTTCCAGTCTATATATTTCATGTGTTCTATCTCTGATCTTGGAATGGTTGTACTGAAATACATTTCATTGTACCGGCACACTGGTTCATTGACAAATAAAGCTGTCCACATTGAATGATCACTCTATAAGTGGATAAGTACTGTACTACTAACTAAAGTTTTTCCTATCAACTGCTTTGTCTCTGTAGGTGCAGTATCTTCATTGTTCCCTATCAGTGGGTCTCAGCTCCTCTTCCATCAGTAAATCCTGCAGCTACAACAAGACTGCTGGCAGGTTGGTGTTTGTGTGTGTATGTGTGTGTGCTGATTGGGTGGGTTATTTAGTGAGTACATTGTAAGACCCTCTTGAGTAAATTCCGCCATACTTGAGATGGACACAAACTTTAAAATGAGCTTTGGCCCCTTTTACCTCAGTAGTATGAAGCTTCACCCACAAAGACTTTGGCAGTCAGATGTTTTTTAGCCTACTGATTCATCACTGCAGCTTTTAAACCCTCCTGACCTTAATAACAACATACAGGAACTACTGGAAAAGGGGCTGGAGTGTACATACCAAGTTTAGTGGTACCAGGTAGATGTCAGGTTCACCAAAACACAGAGTTGGCTCTGGAACTAAAGTCCATGAAAGGGTTTAAACCAGTGGTTCCCAACCTTTTTTCACCAGGATCCCATTTTCTGTGTGCAAGACAAGCCAGGGCCCCCCAACCCAAACTCCTACCTGCATTCACACAATTAAAAATGACTAATTACAAACTTTATACAGACATAAGGAGAAATGCCTCTTACAGAGTTTTCATTGTACTATTGGGTATATTATCTGGTTTTTATAAATGTAATTTTTACAAATATAATCTTTGTAACCTCAGCACTGAAAAAAATTATTGGGACTTCCTGCAATCTTGCGGGAACCCCTTTGGTGGTCAGACACACCAGGTTGGGAACTACTTGTTTAGACTACCTGCTTTGCTAGAGTAGCTCTGGTTGAGAAGTGAAGGGGTGGGCTTCTTAGCGCTCAGCCTATCTACTGGTACGTTTGGGGTTTATGCCCAGGGACGAAGGAGTAGCTTCCCTGCAGCTTCAGCACTGTTTGTAGTACATTCATTTACGCATCACATAGCTGCTAGATGGTAGTCCCACGAGGCATTCCATTGTCCTGCTGGGGGACTCGTGTGGGCAGTGAGACTGTGACCTAAAGGGGGATGATTGGGAGGAATGGCACATCCAGTCTGAACCCCATGTGATGTTCTGTATAAGACTTCTGTGCATTATACCATAGTGTAGAGCTGCCTAGGCCACAGGTTGATGTTTGACATTGTAGTTGTCATCTGGCATGTAGCCGTAGGTTTTCGAAACTTGGGTGAACTGGTTACCACCTGGTCATGATTTGGATAAGAGGGTGGGGGAAGATGCCTCACAGACCTGGTAGGTCCAAACACACAGTGAGGGTCTGCTGGGAACATCTGGAGGAAGAACCTGTCAAAATGATCTTCAAACCCATCCTCGGCAGAGGTTTGATTTAGAATGTTGAAGGCGTTTGCCCATTAAGTTCATGTGCACTTGTGGGAGTTTTTTTTTTTTTTTTTTACTCTTGACAAAAATAGCACAAAGTGATCTGCAACCAATGTGAGATTATCTGTATGTTACACAGAAACACCACTCGGCACAAAAATCTGTGATGAACATTCTACTCAGTTTTATGGCTTTTTTTAGACATTTTGTCCTGAATCAGGAAAGGGCTGCAGGCAGCAGCCAGAATGCTTTGAAGCAACCAGTGACTCGAGTTCCTAGCCAGTCACGACGCCAGTCCAGATCAGCACACTAAGAACAACAACAAAGCAGGAAAGTAGAGGAAAAGTATGGGACAATGCTGATCTGTGCTGTTGGAAAAGGTGGCCAGACTAAATCGCACCAATCAGAGTGCTGAGTAGTGCCATTGGCCATTGGAAAAGGCCTGTAAGAGAACATCCTGATTGTAGAGAATTACAATGAAACAGCCAGTAAGTTATAAATTCAGACTTTTCACTACATAAATTCGGGTCAGGATGTTGATAGCAAAATTACACAAGAAGGCAGACCTATAACATGTTTTAATTCACGGTTAAAGGACAGATCCCCATCCAGAAGAGCATTCCTTAGTACTGGAAATAATGTCACACAAAGGAAGGGCATGACTACACTTAGTCCAGGTTACATAAAAAAAAAACATAAGCAAAAGATTAGGAGTCATTCAGGTCTTTGAGATATGCTTCTTGTCTGATTAACTGATCTGATTTATCAGGTTTCATGGAAAATATATAAATGAAGATCATTAGCATAACAAAATTTGCTTTCCCTCTATGTCTTATACATTGAACCAGTGAAAGCAAATAGAGTATTGAACCAAACACAGAACCCTGAGGAACTCCATGACTAACTCTGGTACAGGAGGAAGATTCATTATGAATACGAACAAACTGGAATCTACTCTAATTTCCCTCTGGGATTAATAAAGTATTTTTGAAATTGAATTGAATGAAAGACTTAAGGTAGCAATTCAGAATTTCTTTCTTTTATCTAATGGCACCATCTAGTGGCTGACAAGAGTATCACACCATGACCTAGTTTTCATTTCTGTATTTAGGCTGAAAGCAATGTCTCTCATTCATGAATGAGCTAACAAAACAGAGCTACAACACATTGTTTTACAGTTATTATGCTCATGTTATGTTGTGTTTACATAGATTTATTTTTAAAGACTTACTTGTCCATGAGAGAGGTCACCATCTCTGCATGAACCAAGGTACTTCCTTAAACGCTAGAGCATGCTCTGTGATTGACCTCTGTACGTAAGCGGAAGTCCAACGCTATTGGTTAGTGCTGACCAGCGCTTAGTTCAAATGCATTGAGCTCAATGGGACAGGGGGTGGACTTAGTTAAAAAAAAGATGTATTTTCTACAATATATCACATTCATATGATAATCCCTTTCATGGATGTCTGAAAAATCGTACATAACTCCTGAAAGAGGTCAAACTCCAGATAACAGCTTTAAATCAGTTTAGTGCTGTTCCCTAAATCCCACTATAACATTCAAACCTCTGGAGTTTTGTGGATCAAACACTTTGCTGAAATCTAACTGGAAAAGTACACCAACTGAAGAAGAAAGTCATTAACACATTTTTGTTGTGGTGTTGTGAAGGTGGGAAGAGCTGATATCATCATCATCTGTGTGTTCCTGCTGTGGTTCTGTGTGTGCTGGCGAGGAGACCTGTAAGTTCCTGGAATATGATCAGACTAAAGAAATCACAAATACACTTGTAATTTTGCACAGTTTTCTAATTTTTCCAGCTTCACATAATTGTGTTTTTAGTACCATTTCTGTTGCTGCTAATCTAGTAATGGTTAAATAAATAAATAAATAAAAATCATTTAAAAATACACTAGAAGAGGCATAAATCTGATGGAGGACGTAAATTTACTAACTTGGGACAGACCCAAACACAGAAGAGCTGAAGCCGGGTGGTAAAGACACACAGGTAGTTCTAATAATACCTGAGCGCCCATAACATCTGAGACTGATGCATCAATGTTACAGCGGGACTAAAGAGATGATCAGAAACAGGTTACAGCTGGATGATCTAGGAAGGTAGAAGAACGTGACGTCTAAGTGGTGAACAGGTGAGCGGACCTTCGGGACATCCCGCTGTCACGCCAAGAAGGGCACGGCTGCAGATTCACGCTGTAGACCAGGGCTATTCAATTCTGGGCTTCGAGGGCCGGTATCTCGCATTGTTTGGTTTTAACCCTGCTTGAACACACCTGATTTCAATCAGCAGGTGATTAACAGGCTTCTGCAGAACCTGAGGAGCTGCTGCTGCACAGGTGACTGAACTACTCAATCTAGTGTGTTGGAGCAGAGAAACCACTAAAACATACTGGATACTGGCCCTTGAGACCCGAGCTTGAATAGCCCTGCTGTAGACTATTCATCACTTCTTCCTCGTTCTTCATGGGCCGTGATGCGCTTGAATTAAAACATCTGCCTCTTTAGCTCCCATTCGGCTGACAGCTTCAACACACTGTGCTGCTGAATTAGTAATGCACGCATTTTCTTACAAGTAACGGAAACTGTGTTATGATAAAAGAAGACCGTAATTATTAATTAGATTACTCGTTACTGAAAAAGGTTTTTTTTTTTTTTTTTTTAGTAACGCCATTACTTTAAACCATGTCATTCCCATCACTGCTGGCCGGTTAAGTCGGCTTATGCTCTGCAATGGTTGGAGATCAGCGGGACATTAGCTTCATGCTAACCCAAAGCCAACATAGTTTTTCGGGAACGTTGAGCGAGTCCAAAGTGAAGGCACCACTAAAGATCCGTGAAATCTCTGTCAGCGCTCCTGGCTGGAGCTGTCGACCTCGCAGATCTTTGACTGCGGTGGATCAGCGAAGCTCGATAACTTCTGCTATCCTTGCTTGGCAATAGGCCCAGAGAAAATTTTGGGGTGGCACACCAAATTGATCCTCATGGTAACTCAGGTAAACTTTAATCTGTAGTGATGCAATAAATGCATTTTCATTTAAAAATAAAATAAAATCATAATAATATGCATTCAACACACCCTGGCGGCATCAGGGAGTCTTGGGTCGTTGATAAGTGGTCAGACTGTGGACGTAATGTGGCGCAATCATGTACTTTTTACAAAAGCAACGGCATTATAAAGGCGGTACGGGTGGTCTCTGTACTGCCGTGGACTTTAGTTTATCTTGAACATAACTTTTTGTTTTTTATTGCAATTGAAGCCGCAAAGTTGTATTCACAAGCATCAAAATCCGCCTTTTGTAAAATCCATGGCACTTCAAACAAGTTTAGAAAAGAACTTATCCTCTCTTAGACTCCCATTCATTTTTATCTGTCAGTTGAGGACCTGTTTTCCAGAAGTAGATGGGCGTGACGTGGTGGTACCAAGCTGACGAAGAAAATAACAGAGGCAGCTAATGATGAAAGCTGGCAGAAAAATGAAGAAGAGAAAAACGACAAAGCTCTCAGATTAAATTCATTACAATTTACTTTTATTATATAATCGCCAAATCACGAGTTGTCTCAAGGCACGTTCCAGTTGAGTTCAGTTCATTATGCCAATTTGTTAAGTTCCCTATATAAGGAACCTAGCAGACTGCATCCAGTCACCGACTTGTTGTGTCAGAGACTTTACAGCAATCCTCATTCTAAGCAAGCATGTAGCGACAGTGGAGAGGAAAACTTCCTTTGAACAGGAACAAACCTCCAGAGGATCCTGGCACCGTATAAGCAGCCATCCACTATGACTCACTGGAGATTAAGAAGAAAGAGCAGATATGTGTGAATGCACACTTTTTAATTGGGTGTTTGTTATTCAGGCATATCAAGGGCTGAGTCCACAATTACATGCTACTTTGTTTGGTATGTCTAAATAAATTAGAATATTTAAAAATATTAAGTGAGTAAAGGTTTGTTATAAGGGCTGCTGAGATGTGCTTGTTTTCCATTTAAAAACATCTTTGCCCCTGTTGGCACAAGAAATAAGTTTAGAGGTACTCAAAAGAAATCTCAGATTTCCCAGCATTCACCCAGTATTTAAACACACCATGCATGTAGAAATCAGTTGGGTGTGCAGAGGCTCAAAACAGTTTGTGTATTTGAGACCTGATCTCTGTAAATGTAGATTGTCCCATGTCTTTGTATGTGTACAAGCTGAAGTTAAACACAAAAAGGTAAACACAAGTTACAAATCTGAGTTACTTGCATAGGACTCTAGTTACATGTGTAACCAGTTTAATCATCCCTACTACTACAGACTGGGCAAAACACACCCCTCAACTCTGTGTTTATATTTTTTTAAAAGAAGAGGCTTCTGGATGATCAAACGTGGCAACTGCCTGCACTCTATATCAGCGTGCAACACCTCTGATAACAAACATGTACCATATTGTGGGACCTCCCAAAAGGACTTCAAGTGTGGAATAATTATAATTTATTAACATATGTAAATAAACAGCATGGATGTAGTGTGTGCCACATTTATAAGAATTATCACAAATACACTAAAAAAAAAAGAATGAAAAAAGACATTCCAGATCAATGGAGTCACAGGAATGTGTCATTGTGTTCAGTCACATTTGGCAAGTAAAAAGGTTTCAGGAAGAAAGAAGGGAAAGGTTTACAGGACAGTGGTGGGACCCACCATGTGGTATGGTTTAGATATGATGTCCATTGCTCAAGATTTTGTGGTTCATTTTGGGAGGGGTGGTCCCTTAAGGAAAAGATTTAAAAAGAAAACGAAGCAGTGGTCCTAATATGGAGCCCTGAGGAACCCCTTTCATAATAGGGATAGAACAGGAAAAGGCCAAACTTAGTGGACACTGTTCCAGATATGAAGTTTAAAACCAGCTCTCATTTGCATAGAACAAGTTATCTGTTTACCTAAATATTCTGATCAACTGTGTCGAAAGCTTTCAATAAACCAGTTCTGTAACATAGGAGTATTTTAATTAATTGGCACACTGAGATTTTTGTTTCAGCTGTGGTTTCTTTTCAGCTTTCCAGAACAGAGTCAGAAGTTCTGGCTGGTTTGTTGATCCAAAAGAGGGCAAGAAAACACCTGAGATGCGACCAAGATTTTTCCAAGCAAAAGAGGGTGAAGAACCACTGGGTCAAGACGAGAGTTGGAAGGATGACGTGAATGTCACTCATGAAGGTGTCCAGACTTTTACCGAGGAGACCAGAAATGGCTATAAGGAACGTAAAGGAGAATTGAGGTCTACAACAGTCCGTCATCAGGAGACGACTGGAAAAGAACCAGAGGGAGGTGAGACAGAGGTGGTAGTCATGAAGAAGGAAACGTTCAACGTCATGTCCGATGAAAGCGGGTCACATGGCAATGAAATGAGCCGGTTCAGGGATATGGGACCAGATTTTAGGGATAAACGTATTCATGTCTTATCTAACGATGATGGCAGAACCAACAGTACTGTAATGACCCAGGGTGATGTTTCCATAGATGACACTCCAGTTTGTCCAGGTGGACTCAGCTGTAGAGCGGGAAGCACTGCCTCTAATGGACCTGGTACCAGCTATGGTTCTACTGGTGCAGAGCACTTCAGCACCTATAATATTAGTAGTTCTGACTCTTCTGTGTTCCTTCACCCTGTGTCAGAAAATGGACAGCCTGAGGTGGAGGCGAGCCCAAGCCCAAAACGGATCGTGTGTGAGCAAGCGGCTGAAGGTGAGGACCTACGGATCAGAGGGTTGGAATCTGGGTTCAGAGACAAGATCTGTAAAGATGTTAGTGAGTCAGATTTTGATTCTGGAGCTATAGGGGAAGTTCTTCATCAAAGCTTGCTTAATGGAGAAGTGGAACTATCTGCCACCGCTTCAAGACTGCATACAGCTGGTTCTCTTTCATTTGAATCGGAACCAGTGCAAGGAGCCAACTCCAGTCACTCTGCTACAGTCACCACTTCTCTTCATGTCCGTGACCCTCTAACAGCCAGTCAATGGGCAGAACTGGTACCAGAGTGGGTTCTGGAGGATCTGGCTTTTTTGGTCAAGAAGCCAGCTGAAGCTGCTTCTTGAAGATTGAATGTGTTCTTCATCTCTGAGGTGTTTCAGGGTTAACGCTGGTTTTATTGTCTGGATATGGAAGCTTTGATCTGGAGATCAGAGAGAAATCTGTTTTCTTTTCTTGATCGACATCAAACTTACCCAGTCTTTAATTCTAACTTCACAAATTCCCTCACTGTTAACTATCTGTCAGAAATGTAGAGGTCACCAAGCTGGTGTTAAAAGTGAAAACCTAAATGTTTTTAGACTTGGAGCGACACGTGAATCATACAAACTGTGTTGGACTGTTTAATAAACCTCAACTACATCCCTGAAAAGTTTGTTTTCACTTTGGTTTGAGTGTTTTGATTTAATAAATTGTTTCCTTTATAATTGGTGCCCTCATCATGTTTTTAATATAAGTGCAACTGTTTGAGTCAACAACATAAGCTATTTATCTATTCATATTGTAAGCAGGGTGAGGCTGCTGATGTCTGATATTTGCTGCAAAGAAGTGACTGGTTTCTATTTTAAATGAGATTTTAATGTAGGAATAGTTCTGTGGTGAGGTCTTTACATGTTCATATTTTTTATGTTTAAAAGAACTCAAGCCATCTCTGCAGCTTTATTCTTGACATTTTCAGTACTTTTCAGAATGAGCCGTTTTTTTTTTTTTTGGGGGGGGGGGGGGGAGTGGTTGCTGGCCACACCCAACTTTCTCCTGATTGGCTGGATGTTTATCACAGTAAAAATGGGGAATTGCAGTCACATTCCTGCTTTCTCTCCCAACAGTGTTTAGAGTTGAAGCATTATACCCAAATGCATTATAATGCAGAGCTCTTAAACATTTGGAGGCCAGGGACCCCTTATAGGGGTAAAGATAGTAAGGACCTCTGTAAGGATTCGTGTATTTTCCAGCCATGTTTGCATTACTTTTTGTTTTCACACATTTCTCTCCTCATTCACCTGAGCCAGGCCCAATTGTCTCTCACCTGTGCGCTGCACTCCAATCAGCTTCATCAACATTTTTCTCCATTTTGTCAATTGAACTCTGGAAGGTTTAGTTTAGTCTCCAGCAAATAGAACTCTATAGCAACAAGTAACAACCAGAGCTAATAGCATTTTAATGGGACATCTGAAAAAGTGATTTACTTTAGTCAACAGTTTGGTCACCTCCCGCCTGGACTATTGCAACTCACTTCTCTTTGGTCTGCCCCAAAAATTAATACATAAACATCAACTGGTTCAAAAGTAGGCTGCTCATATAATCACCAGAACACCCTATTCGGATCACATCACCCTCGTTATTCAGCAGCTCCATTGGCTGCCAATAAAGTTCAGGGTCCACTACAACATTTTAGTCCTTACATATAAGGCCATTAATAATCTTGCCCCCTCTTATCTCTCACAGCTCCTACAAGTCACTAAACCTTCTCGCATGCTCAGATCGTCTTCTTCCATCAACTTAAATAATCCACCAGCACGTCTTGTCACAAAGGGATACCGAGCATTTAGCAGATGGGCACCCTCCCTAAGGAACTTATTACCTGCTCATCTTAGGAACACGACTACCCTTTCACCAATTTCAGGCTATCTCAAAACGTATCTGTTCAAAATAGCTTATTCACTGTAACTGTTATTAGTGTTTCATCTGATGTTTTATTTGGGTTTTAAAATTTCTAGTCACTGAATGTTTTAATTTGTTTATTTTTAACCTGATTGTACAGTGACCTTGAGTTTTTTGAAAGGCGCTCCAAATAAATTGTGTTAATATTATCATTCAAGAATTTCATAGATGTGTTTCTTTTGGACAAGTTGTCAAGGGATTAAAACAGGGGACAGATGAAGTCGTGGCTCTCAGATGTATCCAAAAGGATGACAAGGGATCAGATACCAGAGAAGCCAATTCATTAAAACATCTCAGGGAGCTGAACAGAACAACCTGATTATGTTTATTTATTTAGCAGACGCTTTTATCCAAAGCGACTTACAATTTATAACCTATAGGGCATGTTGTGATCCGTGGGGGAAACCGGAGTACCCGGAGGAAACCCACGCATGCATGGGGAGAACACGCAACTCCACGCAGAAAGGCCGCAGCCGAGTTTCGAACCTGCAACCTTTGTGCTGCGAGGCAACAGTGCTAACCACTGTGCCACCATGCAGCCTTACCGGGCAGTCAGGAGTTTCTATTCTTCAGAAATTTCTGGGAAACTGCTTTTGGTGAGGTTTACAAGGGAACCGGGAACAGCTGAAGCAGTGGCTCTGAAGTTTATCACCATGGATTAAGTTAATCGATCACTTTGAATATAATGACAGCTTCTGTTTAGTGTTTGAAACATATTACATGAATAGATTTGGTTTATTTCAAATGAGAGAGGGGGAACCACTAGATGTCAGTCAAGTCCAGGTGGTTTGCCCACGACCTGCTGGTGGATCTGAGTGAACTCAAAAAAGGGAAGAAGACGAATCAAAATACACCTGATTTCATTGTTACACAGACTTTGGATACAGAAGTTGATTCTGATGAGGAAACTTCAAAGAATGAAAGCATTCAAAAGAACTCCCTTTAGTTTGAGGATGTCACCATCTGTCAAGGGGAAAGAGTAATAAGACATAATTAGGATACAGTTTAAGTTTTAATAACTTTTATTTCTGTCTAATAAATTTCTACCTTTCCCTTCATGTAAAGATACAGAATACATTCTTAGTGAGTTTAAACTAGTGTCTGATTCAGCTTTTTAACTTTCAGTGCAGTTTTAAATATTTGAAGGAATTCTATTACAATAATGTCCGTCTGTGAACATCAGAGTGGTAGAGGACAAGCGAATCTTCATGAGAAACATTTTTAACTTCATTTGTCCATGCAGCTCTTTACTCGCTCCAACTCCAGTTACTAATCCATCCCAACTAGAGGAAGCTGTTTTTATTCTGAGACAGCCATGGTGAGTTTAGTTAGAGATGTAGATCATTTGACAGACAGCAGCAGCATTTGGCATATCATCAGTAAAGTAAAATGTGATCATGAACATGAGTAATTATTTCATTTTTTCAGTTAAACCACATGATGCTGACTTCCGTGACCTGCTGAAGCATGCTGCACACTCAGGATAACCATGGTAACACGACGTGTCTTCCAGAATAACCAGAGCTGAATCAGGACGTCTGAACAACAGAACCTTCACAACGTTGGTACTTACTGCAGGACTGTTCCTTGCATCTGTTAAATAATTTACCACTTACGGTCAGGTTGGGATTAGAGTCTTTACTTGAAGACAGAACAAGAATTATTAACAATGAAATATCAGCATAAATAAATAACTAGATCATTAATTAAAAAGTTTCAGGTCAAGCTGCTGCCTTTGCATGCATGTTCATCTTCATGTATTCACATGATCCTGAGTGGTGATGAGCAACAATCAGGTAGGTGGAAGCAGCTGGTCTGGTCAGTGATGGAGTAAATGCTGGTAAGTGGAGTGGTGCAGCTGGCTGGGTGATGGGGCCTTTTACAGGATCACTGGTATTAAAAGGAATGGTAAGGGAGCTAAAATCCCTCCAAAAACACCACCCATCTGTACTGGTGCTGGAGCGTTGGTGGGGGTTTGCTTGTTGTGGTGCTAGATGATGTGTTTCTTTGTTTTTGTCTCTTTTCATCCAGGATCTGGTGTCAGAGAGAGGGATCCTCTAGTCCTGAAGAAGTCTGGAGCTTGCTGAGCTCACTGAAGCAGAAGTTCTTTTGTGGGGTCTCGTGAGACTAAAACATGTCAATGCCTGACTGAAAATGTTAGTGCAGGTTGAACTTATCACACATTTTTCTGTTATTATGATCTCTGGCTTTTAATAAAGAAATAAATTAAAAAAATGTTTTTTTTACTCACATGTTGTTTTCTAATAAGGTTTTAACCACAAATAGCTTCATTTAAATTAACATTTTAATAAATTAGTTACTATTTTACACTAGTTGTTAGGCTGGAAGCACAATCAGCAGGGTTATAGATGCATTTACAACCACATGTTTTCCCCCAAGCCATTAAAAACGTGTTTTAAATGAGTTTAGATCATCTCATGTTCCATCTGACAGCAGGCAGAGAGAACAGACAGACTGAAGATTAAATCCTGGAAACAGTTATCTCGCCTGCTTGGTAGATCTGAAGGAACTACTGACATTAAAGTTTATATTAAGACAAAAAGAGCATCTATGCTAGCATGCAGAGAACAGAAGCTCTCAAATTATAAACCACATTCTTTCATTGATAGGTGTATTCTATAAACACTTATTTTTATAGTTATACCTATTTTAGCTAAATACGATCTGTAACCCACGTGTTTTCTACGTTTTGTTTGCAATACACCTTTTAAAAATATAAAGCTGATAAATGTTTGTGGCGCTCCAAGAAAATAAATGCTTTGATAAAATACATAATTTGTGTAATAATAAGCATACATTATTGGTCAAAAACATCTGTAGAAATGTGAAAAGGGTCGTTTTAGCGTCGAGTCTGGCCAGAACCGCTCATGTTGACTAGCAGCGCTGAGCTGTTAGCATTAGCGTTAGCAACTAAGGGCAACGTAAATCACGTGACCACTGGGTGCTTTGATGACGTCACGTGACCACGGCGTGCTTTGATGACGTCACTACTATGCGACTATAAAGGTTAGATCAGATTCCAAATATCAGTGTGAACAGGTCACAGGTCCAGAGCGGTTGCGTTGCTTAAACTTCCCTTCTGACAGTATTTAGAAGGACTCATTCTTTTACTGACAGGAACTTTGTGAGTAGCATATCACAGTCAAAAGATGAAATCAAATCAGTTTTAAGAGACAATCCATATTTTGAACTTGATAAGATTCAGTTATCAGTCACCAGTCTTTAAGCTGCAGGATTCAGAAGCTAAAATGGCTCTTAACTTTTACAACAACGAGATCCTTACCGGGCAATCTGGAGTTTATATTCGTCAGAAATTTCTGGGAAACGGTGCTTTTGGTGAGGTTTACAAGGGTTTAAAACAGGGAACAGATGAAGCAGTGGCTTTGAAGTTTATCACCATGGATCACAGTGACTTAGCTTTCAAAGAAGTCATTATATTGACACATCTCAGAGAACTCCAGGCCCACCAGAATAATCTGATTAAGTTCATCGATCACTTTGTTCACAATGATTGCTTCTGTTTAGTGTTTGAGATGCTAGACAAGGACTTATTTGACTTATTGGAAATGAGACATGATAAACCACTAGATGTCAGTGAAGTTCGGGTGGTTGCCCGTGACCTGCTTGTGGCTCTGAACGCACTGAAGAATGCTGGAGTGACTCACGCAGATATAAAACCGGACAATATTATGCTGGTTAATCATCAGTCGCAGCCTTTCAGAGTCAAGCTGATAGATTTTGGGCTTGCTATGGAAACACACGATCTACGGAACGATGACGTCATACAGGTGTGTGGTTTCAGAGCACCAGAGGTGAACTTAGGTCTCCCTCTGACTGAAGCCGTTGACATGTGGGCTGTTGCCTGTACACTGGCCTTCATCTTTCTTGGAGATTATATTTACAATCCTATTTGTGAGTTTAACAATATGAGGCAGATCTTTAAGCTCCACGGTCTGCCTGACCAGGATTTACTTGGCAAGGGAACGAAAGTGAACCGCTTTTTCATTTTTGACCAGTCAAACCAAACTTGGAGGTTTAAAACACCACAGGAGTATACGGAGAAGATAATGATCGATAGCGACTACCGTGATATTGCGTTGGACTCTATGGATGACTTTTTAACGATTCATCCAGAAATACAAGACCCCTTTGAGTTAGAAGATCTGCAGTCATTCATAGACCTCCTGAAAAAGATGTTTACAGTGAACCCCTCAGAGCGGATCACTCCAGAAGAAGCTCTAAATCACAGATTTATAACAATGAGCCACCTTCCTCCTACCAGCAATAACTCATATGTGATATCGGCATATGAAAAAATGAAACTGTATCGAATGGAGAAAGAAGAACCAAGCATATCCCCTGATTTCAATGTAAGACAGACTGCTGAAAGAAAATCAGATCTCTTTGATTTCAATCCATCTGATTATGATCTGTCGGACTCAGATCTCTCTGAATTAGAAGATCCTGACTCTGATCTGTTTGACTCTGGTCTGTCTGACTTTGATTTATCAGATTCTGATCTTTCTGACTTAGATACAGATGAACAATGTAATGAGCCAGCGAACACATCAGATTTTCAACTCCTTAAGATTCAGGAAGCTAATTTATCAGATATGAAGCTGCACGATTCAGAACTGGACGGCAGCAGAAGAGACAGACTAGATGAAACATCGTTTGAATTATACAAAGATCAAACAATCACTGGGGAATCAGGAGTTTATATTGTTCAAAAATTTCTGGGTCGTGGTGCTTTTGGACAAGTGGTCAAGGGTTTAAAACAGGGGACAGATGAAGTCGTGGCTCTCAAATTTATCCACAAAGATGACAGTGAATCAGCTACCGGAGAAGCCACTATATTGAAACATCTCAGGGAGCTCCAAGCTGACCAGAAGAACCTGATTAAGTTAATCGATCACTTTAAATATAATGACAGCTTCTGTTTAGTGTTTGAGATGCTGGACATGGACTTATATGACTTATTGGAAATGAGACATGATAAACCACTAGATGTCAGTGAAGTTCGGGTGGTCGCCCACGACCTGCTTGTGGCTCTGAACGCACTGAAGAAGGCTGGAGTGACTCACGCAGATATAAAACCGGACAATATTATGCTGGTTAATCATCAGTCGCAGCCTTTCAGAGTCAAGCTGATAGATTTTGGGCTTGCTATGGAAACACACGATCTACGGAACGATGACGTCATACAGGTGTGTGGTTTCAGAGCACCAGAGGTGAACTTAGGTCTCCCTCTGACTGAAGCCGTTGACATGTGGGCTGTTGCCTGTACACTGGCCTTCATCTTTCTTGGAGATTATATTTACAATCCTATTTGTGAGTTTAACAATATGAGGCAGATCTTTAAGCTCCACGGTCTGCCTGACCAGGATTTACTTGGCAAGGGAAAGAAAGTGAACCGCTTTTTCATTTTTGACCAGTCAAACCAAACTTGGAGGTTTAAAACACCACAGGAGTATACGGAGACGATAATAATCGATAGCGACTACCGTGATATTGCGTTAGACTCTATCGATGACTTTTTAACGATTCATCCAGAAATACAAGACCCCTTTGAGTTAGAAGATCTGCAGTCATTCATAGACCTCCTGAAAAAGATGTTTACAGTGAACCCCTTAGAGCGGATCACTCCAGAAGAAGCTCTAAATCACAGATTTATAACAATGAGCCACCTTCCTCCTACCAGCAATAACTCATATGTGATATCGGCATATGAAAAAATGAAAGTGTATCGAATGGAGAAAGAAGAACCGAGCATATCCCCTGATTTCAATGTAAGACAGACTGCTGACAGAAAATCAGATCTCTTTGATTTCAATCCATCTGATTCTGATCGGTCGGACTCAGATCTCTCTGAATTAGAAGATTCTGACTCTGATCTGTTTGACTCCTGTCTGTCTGACTTTGATTTATCAGATTCTGATCTGTCGGACTCAGATCTCTCTGAATTAGAAGATTCTGACTCTGATCTGTTTGACTCCTGTCTGTCTGACTTTGATTTATCAGATTCTGATCTGTCGGACTCAGATCTCTCTGAATTAGAAGATTCTGACTCTGATCTGTTTGACTCCTGTCTGTCTGACTTAGATACAGATGAACAATGTAATGAGCCAGCGAACACATCAGATTTTCAACTCCTTAAGATTCAGGAAGCTAATTTATCAGATATGAAGCTGCTCGATTCAGAACTGGAAGGCAGCAGAAGAGACAGACTAGATGAAACATCGTTTGAATTATACAAAGATCAAACAATCACTGGGGAATCAGGAGTTTATATTGTTCAAAAATTTCTGGGTCGTGGTGCTTTTGGACAAGTGGTCAAGGGTTTAAAACAGGGGACAGATGAAGTCGTGGCTCTCAAATTTATCCACAAAGACGACAGTGAATCAGCTACCGGAGAAGCCACTATATTGAAACATCTCAGGGAGCTCCAAGCTGACCAGAAGAACCTGATTAAGTTAATCGATCACTTTGAATATAATGACAGCTTCTGTTTTGTGTTTGAGATGCTGGACATGGACTTATTTGACTTATTGGAAATGAGACATGATAAACCACTAGATGTCAGTGAAGTTCGGGTGGTCGCCCGTGACCTGCTGGTGGCTCTGAACGCACTGAAGAATGCTGGAGTGACTCACACAGATATAAAACCGGACAATATTATGCTGGTTAATCATCAGTCGCAGCCTTTCAGAGTCAAGCTGATAGATTTTGGGCTTGCTATGGAAACACACAATCTACGGAACGATGATGTCATACAGGTGTGTGGTTTCAGAGCACCAGAGGTGAACTTAGGTCTCCCTCTGACTGAAGCCGTTGACATGTGGGCTGTTGCCTGTACACTGGCCTTCATCTTTCTTGGAGATTATATTTACAATCCTATTTGTGAATTTAACAATATGAGGCAGATCTTTAAGCTCCACGGTCTGCCTGACCAGGATTTACTTGGCAAGGGAACGAAAGTGAACCGCTTTTTCATTTTTGACCAGTCAAACCGAACTTGGAGGTTTAAAACACCACAGGAGTATACGGAGACGATAATGATCAATAGCGACTACCGTGATATTGCGTTAGACTCTATCGATGACTTTTTAACGATTCATCCAGAAATACAAGACCCCTTTGAGTTAGAAGATCTGCAGTCATTCATAGACCTCCTGAAAAAGATGTTTACAGTGAACCCCTCAGAGCGGATCACTCCAGAAGAAGCTCTAAATCACAGATTTATAACAATGAGCCACCTTCCTCCTACCAGCAATAACTCATATGTGATATCGGCATATGAAAAAATGAAAGTTTATATAATGGATAAGGAAGAACTGAGCATATCCCCTGATTTCAATGTAAGACAGACTGCTGACAGAAAATCAGATCTCTTTGATTTCAATCCATCTGACTATGGTCTGTCTGACTCACTGATGAGCCAGTGAAGACGTCAGAATTGGATGTTGATGAGTTTCAGAAAGCTGATTTATCAAACTTTAAGCAGTACGATTCAGAACTGGAAGCCAGATGAAGAGACAGCCTAGATGAAATGTCATTTGAATTATACAAAGATCAGACAATCCCTGGAGATCCAAGAGTTTATTTTAGTCAATATTTTCTTAGATAAGTTTATTTAGACAAGTGGTCAAGGGTTTAAAACAGGGGGCAGATGAAGTCGTGGCTCTCAGATGTATCCACAAAGACAACACGGGAGCAGCTACCAGAGAAGCCACTATATGAAAACATCTCAGGGAGCTCCAAGCTGACCAGAAGAGCCTGATTAAGTTAATCGATCACTGTGAATATAATAGGAGTGGCTGGATAGGCCTAGAAAAAAATTTGGGGTTTGCACACCAGATTAGTCCGTGTGTTAGCTCTAGTAGAGTTCAACCTGTGGTGTTCCATTGCACATTCCTTCATTCTTTTTCATTAAAAAAGGCAAAAAGCGTCCATTATACTCAGATCAAAATTGAAGAATGCAAAATTAGTTACACTACTATGGATACAGAGGAAGATTCTCAGGAGGAAACTTCAAACTTAGCATTCAACGTTTTAGCATTTAGTGTTAGTGTTTATTGTTAGCGTTTAGTTTTAGTGTTTAGCGTTTAGTGTTATTGTTTATTGTTAGCATTTAGTTTCAGTGTTTAGCGTTTAGTGTTAGTGTTTATTGTTAGCGTTTAGTTTTAGTGTTTAGCATTTAGTGTTAGTGTTTATTGTTAGCATTTAGTTTTAGTGTTTAGCATTTAGTGTTAGTGTTTATTGTTAGCATTTAGTTTTAGTGTTTAGCATTTAGTGTTAGTGTTTATTGTTAGCGTTTAGTTTTAGTGTTTAGCATTTAGTGTTAGTGTTTATTGTTAGCGTTTAGTTTTAGTGTTTAGCATTTAGTGTTAGTGTTTATTGTTAGCATTTAGTTTTAGTGCCTTTGTAATTTCTCGGCTTGACTACTGCAACTCTCTCTATGCAGGGTTGTGTCAGTCAACACTGCGTCGCCTACAGGTTGTGCAGAACAGCGCTGCCAGGTTCCTGACTGGGACCAGGAAACGGGACCACATCAGTCCAGTTCTGGCCTCCCTGCACTGGCTTCCGATTTCCTATCGCTCACAATTCAAAATACTCGTCTTTGTTTATCATTTCTTCCAGGGTGGTGCTCCCCCCTATCTGGCCACACTCCTGAACAGACATTCCCCATCACGCGCTCTGCGCTCCTCTGACCAAGGCCTGCTCGCTGTCCCTCGGTCTAGGTGTCGTACCCGTGGGGACCGGGCTTTCTCAGTCCTAGCACCGTTACTCTGGAACCAGTTGCCACCCTCAGTCAGGCTGTCCCCTTCTCTGCCAGTCTTTAAGAATCACCTAAAAACACACCTCGTCCACTTGGCGTTTCCAGAACATGTTTGATTATGGCCCTCTATTATGTTGAATCCATTCCACAGTTTTCATTGGTACACTCAATCCATCCACTCAATCCAATTGTGTTTCACACATTTGTATTTTACCGGAATGTTTCATCTATTTTGTTATTTCCATTTTGTATTTTGTAATTTGTATTTTGTAATTTGAATTTCTTTTATTGTTGATTTATTCAGTATAATTACTTACAACTGTACCATGTTCAGCGCTTTGGGCTTCCTGACAGGGTTGCGGAAGGCGCTTTATAAATAAAGCTTTGATTGATTGATTGATTGATTGATTGATTTGATAGTGTTTAGCATTTAGTGTTAGTGTTTATTGTTAGCGTTTAGTTTTAGTGTTTAGCATTTAGTGTTAGTGTTTATTGTTAGCGTTTAGTTTTAGTGTTTAGCGTTTAGTGTTAGTGTTTATTGTTAGCGTTTAGTTTTAGTGTTTAGCGTTTAGTTTTAGCATTCTAAAACTGGGTTAGGCCATGACAGGGTTGGGGTTGGTTGGGTTAGTAATAAAGTAAACAAAAAAACTAAAACATAAACAAAAACAAAAAAAAATTATCCTCTACTATTAATCGCCACCTTATCGCGGTGTAGGGGTTTGCGTGCCCTGATGACCCCAGAAGGTATGTTGCCTGGGACTGTTTATCCCTGTTAGGTTCTGCCATGGCAACTGGGCTCTGGGTCAGGGGCCAGACTAAGAGCGATTCATTAATTAGGGTTCCAAGCCCAAAGGGCAGGGAACCCTATTGTTTTTCTACGGATTTTTCATTATTTATTATTCTTCATTATTCTTCTCCGCTGTGTCTGTATGGGCGCAAGAGCCTGAAATTGCCAGGGAAAATCTGACATGGCAGTCTGATAGAAAATCCTGACCGCTACTCAGATTCGAAAATTTGGACCCCGCGTCACCTAGGTGGCGCTATTGCGGAGGTCAATACGTTTTAGTTACTAGCTCCCAAACCGTAGGTCCTATAGTCAAAAACTTTATATGTCCATGATCCTTGGATGATTCTCCATCTTTTTTGTATTGGCCACGCCCATTTCCGCCTAACTAGATTTTTTGCTAGATCGCAAAAAACGCAAAACTTACTTTTAATCACCTATTCGTCATTTTTCGTCGAATCAACTTCAAACTTCGTACATGTGATCTATGGACTAAGGTAAGTTGTTGTGATGAAGAAAAATGCAGAAATATTGAAAATTGGGCTAATGACACCATGTCAAAATCTGTGCGCTAGCTAGCACATGAGGTAATTGATGATATCTTGACCATTTCTCAAGAAAAATTGATGAGACTCTAGACCCTTATGAAGTATGAGCGGTAAGCCCTATCTACCCCATTTTGTTTGGATTCACCAATAGGGGGCGCTAAAGAGTCAAAAAGTTTGTTTCAGCTAAACGGCTTGATGGATTTCCACAGAACTTGGCACATATGTTAATCATCGGACCCTTAAGCTATATTTTGAAAATGATTAAAAAGTGGGCGTGGCTTATAGGCTTAAAAAATTTTCGCCCTTTTACTCATGAAAAATACATATTCTATACAGAAAGTTATAAATCATTTCAGTCGTAGTGACATCTATAATCACAGATATAAATTTGAATTTTGTCCAATAGGTGGCGCTGTTGTACCCAAAAAAAGGTTTTGGCATGTTTCTCCTCAATGTTTTAGTAAAAAAACAAATGGGCTCATCCAGTATGTTCATTGAGTCAGTCAAATTTAGATGAGTATTTTAAAAAATGTTTTATACTTATGCTAATTAGTAGAAATTTGCATAGTAAGTCAAACGTACTTTCGTTAACTCCTCCCGGCCGTCAAACTCAATCACATCACAACTTTCCCTGACAAGAGAAGAGGAGCGGCTGACCAAAAGTTGTGAAGGGATTTTGGATAATTTGCTTATTTTTTTTAATATGATTTTTTTAAATAATTTTTTGGGAATGAAAAAGTTTTTTTAGCGTAACTTCAAAAGATTTTGACATTTTTCAAAGCTGTTCATAACACTCATACCTAAGGTCAATTCAAGTGTATGTCCTGGTTTTCAACTTGATTAAACAATAGGGGGCGCTATAACTGGGAAGAAATTATACTGCTGAACTGGCTAAATGGATCTGCACGAAACTTAGTGGTTGTCATCACTATAGAGTCTTAAGACTACATTATCAATATGGTAATGATTGATCAAAGTGGGCGTGGTTTACGATCATTTAAAATTTCAAATTTGAAAAATTTCCTAAAAATCACTATTTGCATGTAAGAGGCTAAGATTTCCAGATTGTGTTTACTGGATAGGCTAGAGCTTATGTCACGATAGCCGCAGCTCCACAAAGAGGTTTGCGCTTTATATTTACAAAAATACATTTTTACGCTAGCAAGTGTGGCACAAATTCTGTTCTCACAATCTTCTTGTAATTTACCACAAAGTTCACTCTTAGGTGGTTTATGAAACAAAAAAAATGTCGTCTTGATTTGAGCTCCCCCTAGTGTTCAATTATAGGACATATTTTTGTCTACAGCCACTAATGCAAATATTATTTTATTGTAAGTACAGTTTTACATTTATGACCCCATCAAAAATATGAGAAGAATTCTCACATCACAGAAGCAACCTGGGAATATTTTGAGATTTCTATACAAAAGCATAGATTTTTAATGAATTTTTAACTTTTTACCAGTTTTTCTGTATAGTTGGACAACAACGTAATTAATATTTGTTTTAGAAAGCTTTTTAGGTATACAGTAAATATAAGCCATATACAACATTCCACATGTACCTATGGTGATCTGAGATTTTTCTCCTAATTTTAGAAAGTAGCACTATTTTTTTATGAATATTTTAATTTTTGTTGTGACCCTTATAGTTATATTTCCCAATTTTTTCTTCAAAAAAGCTTTGAGTCTACTGATTTAAAAACAACATCATAGTATTCCGCATGTTAACACTGCCATGTGAGAATATTTTGGTAATTTTAGGATGATTTGTGTATTTTTCATGATTTTTTAAAACATTTGGTCAGTAAGTCACAAAATGAAACTCATAGTTTTTGTTGAAAATCTTTTAAATCTAAAGACATTATCAAGGATTTATGTTATTTGTAATATTCCGTTGATGTATAGATCATTGTTTGATAATCTCACTCATTAAATCTTCACGTTCTTTAATAAGGAAACAGTGGAATTCCATTGTAACCACGATTGAGAAGTCAGCCATGCCTCTGAAAGATATGTGTATAGGCTTTGCCGGTTTAATGACGTATCCTGAGTGTTAGTTTCATTGCGCCGGTTGAAGTGAGCTGACGGGACGCCGGCGGGAGAACGTGTTTTTGGGGCTGGACCGCGTGAGGACTGGCGAAGTTGAGGGCGGGGCGGGTGGGCGACTGGCGCTGGGGGCTTGGAACCCGTTGATAACTGCTTGCAGTTCTAGTTCTTATTAGGACTACAAAAGCAGTGGAGAAAAACTTTCTCCAAGACTTTTTAAATGATTGAGTTTTAGTAGTTATGCAGTTGGTATAAAAGTTTTCACAGAAAATATTTTCCGTTATCTAGATCAGTGGTTCCCAATCTAGGGCTCGTGACCCTCCAAAGGGGTCCCCACATACCCTTCCTTTTGACAATTAAGCGCCTAGCTGGAATTGGGAACAAGGTATTGTTTGATGCATGTGTTTTATGTGGATTGATGTGATTTTCTATGTATGTTGTTGTGTTTAAAGTGGTTAAATGCAGAACAATGGTAACAGCCATCTCAACCATAGAGCCAGGTGAACACCCATGCTAATATTAGCCTTTGTGTGGTTCACATGCTTGGACTTAGTTTTAATATTGGTTTTAGCTTTTACCATGTTTGTGCACATTTGTGATCTCACTCAACCTACTATTAATGTAGATTCAATAATATTGTGAATGGTTATATGGCATCAATGATCATCTTTGTAAGAGCTCATTATAATTTCATTTATCTGTTTTATTTAGCTCTTACGGTGTTTCAAGAAAGAAAAGGTGGATTTATGTTCAAAATAAGGATGCCAGCTGAAAATGAATAAAAATACCTTGAGAAGCATCAGTACGCTTCACCATTGTCTGGCTGGGTTCGCTACACTGTGTACAATCAAGGCTGAATATATTTTTAGCTGTTTTTTTGTTGTTGAGAAAACTGGGTTTCTAGAGACTTATATACGTATTCATGCAAAGTTGTCCAACTTTAAAGTTTGATGTAACCCTAACTGACTCCGGTTTGAACTGTGTGCTTATTAGGGTTCCAAGCCCAAAGGGCAGGGAACCCTATTGTTTTTCTACGGATTTTTCATTATTTATTATTCTTCATTATTCTTCTCCGCTGTGTCTGTATGGGGGCAAGAGCCTGAAATTGCCAGGAAAAATCTGACAAGGCAGTCTGATACAAAATCCTGACCGCTACTCAGATTCGAAAATTTGGACCCCGAGTCACCTAGGTGGCGCTATTACGGAGGTGAATACGTTTCAGCTACTAGCTCCCAAACCGTAGGTCCTACAGTCAAAAACTTTATATGTTCATGATCCTTGGATAATTCTGCACGTCGTTTGTGTTGGCCACGCCCATTTCCGCCTAACTAGATTTTTTGCTAGATCGCAAAAAACGCAAAACTTACTTTTAATCACCTATTCGTCATTTTTCGTTGAATCAACTTCAAACTTCGTACATGTGATCTATGGACTAAGGTAAGTTGTTGTGATGAAGAAAAATGCAGAAATATTGAAAATTGGGCTAATGACACCATGTCAAAATCAGTGCGCTAGCTAGCACATGTGGTAATTGATGATATCTTCACCATTTCTCAAGATAAATTGATGAGACTCTAGACCCTTATGAAGTATGAGCGGTAAGCCCTATCTACCCCATTTTGTTTGGATTCACCAATAGGGGGCGCTAAAGAGTCAAAAAGTTTGTTTCAGCTAAACGGCTTGATGGATTTCCACAGAACTTGGCACATATGTTAATCATCGGACCCTTAAGCTATATTTTGAAAATGATTAAAAAGTGGGCGTGGCTTATAGGCTTAAAATTTTTTCGCCCTTTTACTCATGAAAAATACATATTCTATACAGAAAATTACAATTCATATCAGTCATAGTGACATCTACAATCACAGAAAATTTTTTGAATTTTGTCCAATAGGTGGCGCTGTGGTACCTCAAAAATATTTTTGGCATGTTCCTCCCCATTTCTTTCGTAAAAAAAACAAATGATCTCGTCCAGTGTGTTCAATGAGTCAGTCAAATTTAGATGAGTATTTTAAAAAATGTTTTAAACTTATGTAAATTAGTAGAATTTTGCATAGTAAGTCCAACGTACTTTCGTTAACTCCTCCCGGCCGTCAAACTCAATCACATCACAACTTTCCCTGACAAGAGAGGAGGAGCGGCTGACCAAAAGATGTGAAGGGATTTTCAATAAATTGCTTATTTTTTTTAATATGATTTTTTAAAATAATTTTTTGGGAATGAA